TGTGAGCCATAGAGCCCAGCCCTTTGTCTGCTAATTCTAACTCTCTGTCAACTCTGGGTCAGTTTCAGTGGATTGCGTTTTCTCCACATTATGGATCTTGTTTTCCTTCCTCTTTGTGTGTCTGGTTACTTTTACTTAGATGCTGGATATTGCGAATTTTACCTTGTGGAATGCTGGATGTTTTAGGATTCCTGTATGCTTGAGTTTTGTTCCGTTATGCAGTTAATATACTTGAAAGTAGTTTGATCCTTTTGCATTTTGCTTTCAAAATTTATTAGGCAGGACTGGAGCTTTGGGGGTTACCTTTTCCCTATTTCTGAGAGGATACCCTTCTTTGTCCCCTGAACAAAGGCTATGAGAGATCAATTGGGAACAGCTGGCTAATTCTCAGCTGAAACTTGTGGGAGACCCTCTGCAGGTCTCCAGAGTGTTCTATCTGTGCAACTGTCTTCTGTCTGGTCCTCTATCTTGAGAACTCAAGCTCCCCTGGTCTCCCTGGATTTTCAAAACAGTAAACTAGACAGCTGTAGGACCCACCTCATTTATTTCCCATGCTTTGTGGATCAGTGTCTTTTGCTATCTGATATCCAATGTCTTGAACGCTGTTGTTTCATATATCGTGTCCATTTTTTGGTCTGCAGTAGTTTCAAGCAGGAGGGTATATCGAGTCCCTGTTACCCCTTCTGGCCAGAAGTGGCACGCATCACATCTGACATGGCTCCTTGGATTTGGCTGGATGAACATTCCATCACTCCTTGGAATTGCGATGAGATTTGAGAACTGGGAGAGGGAAGCTTTGCAGCCACAGGACACCTGAGGTGCATTCTTGGGTTCCTTTTGTGACTTTTCCACCTTGAGACTTCCATGGCATTCACTTTAATGGAATCTCACCCAATTAAAGATGTATGGGGCCGGGTGCAGTGGCTCATGCCTGTAATCCCAGCATTTGGGAGGCTAAGGCAGGTGGATCACCTGAGGTGCAGAATTCAAGACCAGTCTGGCCAACATGGTGAAACCCCATCTCTACTAAAAATACAAAAATTATCTGGGCATGGTCGTGGGTGCCTACAGTCCCAGCTACTGGAGAGGCTGAGGTAGAAGAATCACTTGAACTCAGGAGGCGGAGGTTGCAGTGAGCTGAGATTGCACCACTGCACTCCAGCCTGGGTGACAAGAGTGAAATTCTATCTCAAAAAAAAAAAAGAAAGAAATGTATGGGAGAGCACATGTACCGCTGCAGGAAGACTTGGCTTATCTTCACCCTGGGACTCCTTCCCTGGGAACAGTATTTAGGGTGCATGCCTGGCTGCTCCCTCTTCCAGCTACGCAGGCTGAGATCCAAGGCCGCAGGTAGCTAGCTGTACTCCTGGTGCCAGGGGGATCCTATGAAGCTGCAGTGATGCTTATAGAAGCCCAAGTACATCCTTGTGAGGAATAGCTCACAGATCTGGGGTGGACCAGACCACAGGTAGGCCCACTGGGTCCCCCCGGGCGAGTTCCAGAGTGTTTGTCTCTCTGGGGGTCTCATGCAGCCCCATCACACTGGAGACACCTGCCCCTCCCCCAGTCTAGAGGCCTCCACTTGGGGCTGCATGTTGGAGAAATGGGGTAAATGGCAGCCACACATATTGGCTGGGGCTGCATATATTCAGGTAGTCCTTGCTCACTCCAGGTCACTGCCCTGGTTCTGTGCTGACCCAAATCATCCTGCTAGCTTAATGTCAGCAGCAAATGGGACAACAGGGGTCATCAGACAGCCTCGCCCCAGACAAGACCACACTTCACTAACTGCAGTTGTGAAGAGTTGAGGGAAATAAAACACATTCGATTTCCAAGCAGACATTAGAATGTGTCCAATTTATCGGGCCAAATGGAGCTCACATGGTGTGAGCTGACCATGTCTCCTCTCATAAGGGAAATCTGTTTTATTTTCAGAAACATGCTATTTTATTTTGGCTTTATAGGCCATGCTTTCTTTATGTCTATTCCTGGGGCCTGGGCAGTCCACTCCTGGGCGGGAGAAGCACACTGGCCTTTTGGCCTGGGACCCTCTGCTCTGGCCAATCCAGGTGCTGGTGGTGAGCAGAGCTAGGAAGGAAGAGAGACAGCCTCAGGCCTCTAATTCCCAGACACCACACACTTCTGTCACACTCATGGAGCTGCCTATCACTGCCTGGAGTCCCAGGGCTTCAGAGGAAGCTCAGACACACAGAGGGACCAGGAAATGCACAGAGATGCCAAGGTCCAACTGTGGGCATCGGGGCAGCAGGCTGGGTGGGCACCAGGTCAGATCATCATGAGACCTGCCCAGGGGAGAGCCGGAGAAGCTGCAGAGCCTGTAGTGCCCCTGCCCCCCTTAGACCTCTGACTGTCCTTTCACCTTCTCTCCAGATCAAGGGCACTCAGATGAGGGCCGGTCTTCCTGGAGCAGGGAGGAAGGCAGGAAAAACACAAAGAAGCCGATTTTGGACCAAGCAAGGCATTGGTACATGAGTCTGCTGGGGCCGGAGGAGGGTGCGCAGGGCACATAGCTGGGTCTAGGTGGACCCGCAGGAGTGTGCGTCAGGGGCTTCTGAGGCTGCACAGAGCAGCCAGGAAGCACTGGGCATTCAACTGTGACCATCTGAAATCAACTACTCGGCAGTGGACTCCCTTGAAGACTTAAGTACAATCATGCCACTCTTTGGCTCTCTGATGGCTTTCCAGCTCACTCCACGTCAAATCCAGTGTCCTCATGACAGTCTACGGGTAAGCTCCGTGTTGCCCTCTGGCCCTCACTTCTGCCTCTCTCCCTCTGTCCCTCTGCCCCAGCCTCCAGCCACCTCCCCATCCTGTGAACGTACCAGGAAGGCCCTCTTCACACTCCCTGCTCTGAAACGCCCCTCCCCAATGCCCACGCAAGGCTCTCGCCGCATCTCCGGCAAGTGCTCGAATGCCACCCGCTTCCCTTGCACCATGGAAAAGCTTCTCGAAGGAATAATTTTGTTTTGTTTTGTCTGGTTGAGAACAGGTTTCTCTCTCCTGCCTAGCACAGTGCCTAGCGTGTGGGTGAGGCTTGAAGAATATTTGCCAAATGGGCTGACCCCTGAGACAGAGCCCTTTCAGTAGACACGGAACGCACAGGCCCAGTCCCACACAGGGGTTTAGAACCACTTGGGCAAGAATGCCTTAAGGCCCGGCGGGAGCCAGGGGTCTGCGGCCCTGGGAGACGCTCATGGATGCCCAGGTCTGTAACTGTGAATATTCACACTCATGTGGCCCTGGTGGCTCGTTGTCCTATAGGTGCTTAATCAGGGCACAGGAAATCGAAAGTGTGCCAATCTGACTTGACCAGAAGTGCATGCTGGGTGTCAAAGAAGCCTGGACACATGAGAAGGGGGAAGAGCTTTGTCACCAGCCCCAGCCGGGGGGTCTCCTGAGGGGGAGGCTGGAATCCCCCATGGGGGTGGACCCAGGGAGTGGGCAGGCAACACCGCGTGGCGACACCTGTGCACACGCGCATGCACGCACACACATGGACACACACGCACACACACATGCACACGCACACACACACATGCACACCCAGGACACAGCCACGAGATGCACAGTGGGGGGACAGGGCTGGGGGCCACAACATGCATGTGGACGTGGCCGGCTCTGCACCTGCCGAGGTGGGGACAGTGGAGACAGTGGAGACAGGCAGCGCGACAGCGTGAGCGCACAGAGGTCAAGATGAGGTCAGAGGCAGAAGAGAGGCAACAGGACGTGATCAGCAGATGGGCCCTGCTCCCAGGCCTCGACGTGGCACGCTTTAGGACACACAGGACTCGGGGCAGGGCACAGGGAGGGGCTCGGCGAGCACAGGGGCCTTGGCAGGGGCTATGTGCCCAGGCCCCCCTGGGACTTGCCCTCGACTGCCCCCATTCCCCATTGTGCACCCAGCCACAGGTGTCCATCCCCAGCCCAGGCATGGCTGGGATGACCCTTAAGACTAGGAGCTGGAGGAGCATACGCATCACCATGCCCGCATCCAGGGTGGCGCATCAGCCACCTGAGGATGTCATGTCACAGAAATGGAAATTTTGTTTCAAGGTCTGTAGGGAATTTTAGGGATCCAATCCAACTTGCTGATTTTACAGAAGGGTAGAGGGCTCAGTCACACAGGGAGTTGGCAGCAAGGAAGGGCCTAGATCCCAGAGCTCCTGGCCAGACAGCAGGGCCTCGCTGTTTATGCACCTGCTGGCCAGAGTGGAGGTGGGCGAGGAAGCGGTTGCAGGGGGCCCAACCCAGGAGTGGCAGGGGCTTGGGGGCAGAGGTCCCAGCCTCCTGGGCATCCTCTCCTCGGGCTGGATCTCACAGGGGGATCCCTGCCATGCTGAATCACATCAACAAAGAGTGAGGGAAGGAGATGAGATAATAGAAAAGGGAGACAGGAAAGGGCAGAGAGACCCCGCTCCAGGAAGAGCAAACTGCCCAGTCCCCAGAAGTGGCCGCAACAGGACCTGTAAAACAGTGTCCAGTTAAACTGTGCTAGACACTAGACCTTGGGCCAGGAATCTCTATGCCCTCTGCTTCCCAACCACTGACCATTTTACAGATGGGGACACTGATGCCCCAAAGAGGGTCCACATCTTGCAAAGAGCTGCCACAAAGTCTGCAGCTGTGTAGGGGCAGTGTCTAGCTGGCCACCTCTGATTCAGCTCCTTCCCATACACCAGGCCCTGTGCGGACACAGTTGCTGATGGCAAGGGCCCAGGGGCCGTTCTGCAGGGCGGCAGAGGCAGGCAGCAGGCAATGCTCCCCTCCACAGGAGGGGCCGCCTTTCTCTCCTCCTCACCTCTCTCTCTTCTGCTCTCCCCACCTCCAAGGACGAATTCGTTGCTGACAAACCAGACCTCCTTCCAATGGGAGGGAGAGCGGGCTTTGAGGGAGGAATTGTTGTGGGAAGGGGTCATTGGTGCTGATGCCTGTAGGGCAGGGCCCTGGCTCGGTCCCCACCTGGTCCAGGTGACACTCACCATTCATCTGGGAGGGTGACAGTGAGTAGTCGCGGTCCGCGTATCGCCGGTCCGGTTTCAGGTTGCGGCTCTGTCTGCCGGAGCCCTCCAGCATGTTCACGATCTCCCCACGGTCGATGCTCCGCAGAGCCGAGCACAGATTCTCCACTGTGGGCACAGAAGAGAGATGCGTGTTACTCGATGGTGGCGAGGGAGGATCACACAGGCTCAGAAAATTCGGCCAGGACAAAGATGGAGAAGGGAGATGATTTTTTTTTCAGAAGGTGGAGGCACCCTATTTTCTCATAATCGAAAAATACTTCCTCTTGCCGGGCGCGGTGGCTCACGCCTGTAATCCCAGCACTTTGGGAGGCCGAGGCGGGTGGATCACGAGGTCAAGAGATCGAGACCAACCTGGTCAACATGGCGAAACCCCGTCTCTACTAAAAATACAAAAAATCAGCTGGGCATGGTGGCGTGTGCCTATAATCCCAGCTACTCGGGAGGCTGAGGCAGGAGAATTGCCTGAACCCAGGAGGCAGAGGTTGCGGTAAGCCAAGATTGTGCCATTGCACTCCAGCCTGGGTAACAAGAGTGAAACTCCATCTCAAAAGAAAAGAAAACAACACTCAAAAATACTTCCTCTTGGGAGAATACTTTTTATACTTCTACAGATCTTTTCCAAATGCAACAGTGGACAATTATTTTATTTATTGGTCTCTGTTACAAAAATAAAAATAAAAAATTATATTATTTATTGGTCTCACTCTGTCACCCAGTTTGGAGTGCAGTGGCCCAATCTCAGCTTACTGCAACTTCTGCCTCCTGGGTTCAAGCAATTCTTGTGCCTCAGCCTCCCGAGTAGCTGGGATTACAGGCATGTGCCATCACACCTGGCTAATTTTTGTATTTTTAGTAGAGACAGGGTTTCACCATGTTGGCCAGGCTGGTCTCCAACTCCCAACTTCAAGTGATCCGCCTGCCTTGGCCTCCCAAAGTGCTGGGATTATCGGTGTGAGCCACTGCGTCCCACCACGTGGCCAACTTAAAAGTCTATAAAGGCTGTGTTTTTTTGGGGGGGATAATCTAATCTAAGAGGAGTACTACAAGAAAATACGAATGAGAATGATTAGATTCTGTCCTTTTGAAATTCTTGGTCATGGCCAGATGATTTGAGATGCAAATGTAAACACTGAATTTCCACTCAGTAGTTTTGAGTCTGGGAATCTGGTTGAGGAGGAGCAGAAAAGAGAATGAGGCAAAGCTCCCTCCAGGTCAGACGAAGCTCCAGGGAGAACGAGAGCTGCCTCAGACTGGGGTCCGGCTTGCCCAGACCCCAATGAGTCCTGAGAGGACAATACTCATTTGCTTGGGAAATTCAATAGGAAGACCTCAAAGATGAGTCATACACCCTGCACACATGTTGTCATCTAGGGGTCCTGGTGCAATTTTTATTTTCTTTTTATGTTTTTTTTTTTTTTTTTTTTTTTGATTCAGGGTTTTGCTTGTTGCCTAGGCTGGAGTGCAGCAATGCAATCATAACTCACTGCAGCCTTGACCTCCTAGGCTCAAGTGATCCTCCTGTCTCAGCCTCCAGAATAGCTGGGACTATAGGTATGTGCCACCACACCTGGCTAATTTTTAAAGGGCTATGTTGCCCAGCCTGGTCTCGAACTCCTGGGCTCCAGCAATCCTCCCACCTTGGCCTCCCAAAGTGTGGGGACTACAGGAGTGAGCCACTGTGCCAGGCCTTGCAATTTTAATCTTATTCCAAGGGTGTGAGAAAGGCTGAGGCCGAGCTTCTCTGCCCATGCCTTCTGGCAGGACTGCCTGGAAGACCTCCTGCCGGGAGTGGTTTGTGCGTGCCTGTGACACAGAGACAGACTGACTCCAAAGGCCAGTGTCATGAATGGAATTTGAAGGAAGAAAATTCCATTCATAACACTGGCCTTTGGAGTCCCCACTCGTTTGGTGGGGAGTAGGTCCTAGGACAGGCTTCCTCAGCGGAACAGTACTGACTCTTTGCGTTTTGGCCTTCACGGATGACCCAGAGGTTCAGCAAGGCCACACTCTGCTCCAACAGGGAGTTGGGGTTTTCCACTCGGATCCTGTTGATGTCTTCCACACTGAACTGCAGCTCCCGGGCCAGCTCTGCAAGCAAGGAACCAACAGCAGATGTGAGCCACGAGGGGGCCTCCAGCACACAGACGGGGTGGGCACTGCAGTGTGGGCATCAGGTGGGGAGCACAGGGAGCTGTTGGGCAGCCTCCCTGTGGACTTGGTGTTCTTTCTTTCAAGAAATTCCTCATGAAATGCCAGCACCTATACTTTTGTATCTCCAGAAAAATGGAGAATGGGAGGGGTGCTTGATAAATAGGTACTGAACGAATGAATGAATTAATTAATGAATGAACAAATGTCCTTTCTCCCTCTCATAACTTCCAATATGAGATGACATGATGGCAAGGTTCAGCAACTTCTGCAAGTTCACAGAGCCAGGGAGTCCCTGAGCCAGGGGGGAGCTGCACCTGCCGATTCTCGGCCCAGCACTGCCTGTGCCACACCAGGATGCCACGCCCTGCTGCCGAGAACCAATGAGAACAGAAACGGCCTTCAGAGCTTATGCTTCTTCAGGGAGAGGTGCTATTTACATTTAAAATGAAAATACCAGTTCCCATCTAAATGCAAGGCAATAATGCAGACTGTTAGCCAAAATCCCCCATTACTTTTAATGTTATTTCTTTAGAAGGAAAACAGCATTAGAGTCTAATTTCAAGGAGAAAGAAGACTGGGGAGAAAGTGATGGTGAGAATCAGAACACGCACACAACACATACACCCACACACGTATACACACGCACACCTTCTGAGCATCCAGCAGTCACAGTTTAAAGAATGAGCCCTGTCTGAACTTCTGAGTCTGTCACACTGCCTTTCCACAAGTTATTACCAAGGTTTCTGAGTGTGTCTAAAGTGTTCTGCAGGGGGAGTGAATGAAGGGAGCCCACTCATATAAAAGCTAACAAAAAATAAGGGGGGAAGGGAAGCCATCTCCTCAGCGTCAACAAGAATTGCAAGCTGGGCTCTGGACAGAAATACAGTTATAATTCGGCATCCACCAAACTGCACGTGGGTCCTCTTCTTTGTTGCTCAAAGCCACACAGTGCTGGACACTGACCACTCGCACCTTCATTGTTCCTACAGACAGGGTCTCTGACATTAGGCTTCTGTTTAAGGATCCCTTAAGATGGTTTTCAGACCCCCAATTCCAGCAACCAGTTTGAATACAGGGATCAGCACGAGAATGTAGCTTCTTCCTCTCCCTGTCCATGATTTCACCCTGCGCTCTTCAACCAATCACCTGCCAGGCGGCCCTGTGACCAAGCCTCCTTCCCTGCTGCAAACTCCTGCCACTCACATCGGGCAGTGGACCTGCAGTGGTCACACAGGGAGAATCCAGTCCTAGGGTCTGTGGCTGGGCACAGCACATTCTGAGCCTTGACTTTATTTGCCCACCTGCCTCCCTTGAAATAAGATCTACCCGGATGGCTGGCAGGACTTCTGCAAGCCACAGCCACAGACCATAGGCAAATACCCTGGGACTTGCCCTTTCCTTCCCTCCTTTTCAAGATCTCCTGTAAAGTCAATAGTTGACGCTTTCTTAGAAAGGAAAGTCAGACAGGGATGGAGGCAGGGGGGCTCCCCCTTCCATGGGCACCCAGTGGTGTGACCTGGACAGCAGACCCAGCCCAGACAATCATAAATCAGATAACACACGGGTGATAAAAGGAGGGTTAGAAATGCCTCATTCATTGCTCATTACTGAGGAAGAGGGTAGGTGAGATGGACAAAGTGCTTTTCTGCCCCCCAATTCCCCACTTACCTGCCCAGCTGAGACCGAGGTGCTCCGAAATAATAGCCATCTTCATCTCCGCCTGGTCTGTCCCAGTGAGAAAACCTGAGGAGAAGCATTAGATTTCATTTAGTAGCCAGGGCAGGACACAGTCGACAGGCGTGAGGACACGGCCTGTGATGGACGTGGCTTCCGTGTACACTGGGGTGATTGTCTGGACTCTCTGCAAGGTCACGGGAAGACCCAAGTCAGCTCTGCAGTTGCTTTCAGAATGGGCCGAGTCCTTGCCAGGCTGCAGAGAGATGAGCTCATACCCACCCTTCTTGGGAAGGAGCAAGCACGCACCATGACCCAGAGGCTGTACCTGGTGTGGACTCGCTGAGAATGCTGTATCGCAGGGCCAGGGGGGTCAGGGTTCTTCTCCTATCTTCAGCTCCACTCCCCTGCAGAAGAAGGGGTGCTTTGGGTTTTGGACTCTCCCCACCTTCCTAGAGAAGGTGATCTGAGCTCCTAGGCTGCAGGGGTAGGGAAGGATGACCCCAGTCCTGGTAAACAGTCAGTCCGTTTCTTCAGGAACTTAGCACAGAGTAACAGGATGGGAGCAGCAGGAGTGAAGGGAAGCTGACCAGGCGCACATGCGCTATTAATCACAGTCTTAACAACGGCAAACCCACATCACCCCATCGCCTGTGGGTCCTTATTTAATGTTCATGGCAACCTAGGAGGTGGGTGCTGTATTACTCCCATTTCATCAATAAGGAAACTGAGGCACAGAGAGACTGTTTCTTGCCCAAGATCACCCAGTTAATATGCAGTGGAGCTGGGTTTGAACTTAAAATATTGCTTTTGTTTTTGGATTTCTTTCTGCTTGAAAGGCCCATTTCCATACTGCCCTAAGGCCTTAGCATCACAGCCCTGTGGAAAAGCATCCAGACGCTGCCCAAGGCTGCAGGAAAATACTCTTTTTTTTTTTTTCAAGAGCCAGGGTCTTGCTCTGTCTCTGAGGTTGGAGTGCAGTGCAGTGGCACGATCATGGCTCACTGCAGCCTCCAACTCCTGGCCTCAAGTGATCCTTCTGCCTCAGCCTCCCAAGTAGCTAGGACTATAGGCCCATGCCGCCATGCCTGGCTAATTTTTTATTTTTATTTTTTCATACAGACAGGGTCTCACTATGTTGCCCAGACTGGTCTTGAACTCCTGGGCTCAAGCAATCCTCTTGCCCCAGCCTCCCAAAGCACTGGGATTATAGGCATGAGCCTCTGAGCCCAGCCTGGAAACCCTCTTATGAAAGAGAAGTTGCTTCACCCTCGTCTCATCGCCAAGAAGAGAGATCGAGCCATGGGCTTATGAATGTAACCTTGCTTCTTTCCTAGTTTAGCATGGAAGGCTAATGATTAAAACAACAACAACAGCAAACACCACCAACAAAACCATGGAGACGGTCTGGAGACTATGATCCCTCCAAAGTCCCTAGAAGAGGTGGTGACTGGGATACTCTCACAAGTATCGACAAATTAACATACGTGGCCAAGACTCCTTTGCTGAGCTCAAAACCCTGGGTGTTTGCGGTGGCTGAGGACACCAGGCTTCCCTTCTGTGAGGGCCTAGCACCCTGGGAAGATAAGCAGGCAGATGAAAAAGCGGCCTAAGAGAAGCCGAGCAGGGGCTGGGAGACCTTAGCAGCTCTCCTTGGTACAAACCTCGGAGGCCTCGGGCCAGGGACACCGAGGCAGATGTGCCCTTCGGGTCCCTTCTCACCTTCACAACTAGGGAGCCCAGGGTCCACAGCGTGAATGTGCCCGTCACCATCTGCACTGTGCATTGCAGAGAGGGCCAGGGCAGGGTCCACTGCCAGCCAGGCCACAGAATGAGCGTGCTCAGTACCTCTGCGTGCTCCAGGGGACTAAAGGCAGTTCCACCAGGAAGAAGCCCCTTGGAAATACTGCACCTGGGGACTGTCTGGGGACCTCCTACGGGGAACGCGTCTCTGGCCAGGCTCCTTGGCAGGTGCCAGCTCACCTTGGTGCAGGGGGGCATGGTGATGTTGAGGTGGCAGAGAATGTGCTGGGCGTCCTCGTACTTCATCGCCTTGCGCAGAAACGACAGGGACCCTCCTGGCTCTCGACTGCTGTCCCTCACCTAAACTCAATCACACAAAGGGAAGATTCAGGGGCCCTTTTATAGGCCACTGGGCTCTCTGGTTTAGGGAATTCTGCCTCCCCAGCTTTCTAGACCCAGAGGAGAGGCCAGCCAGAGAGTGCCGGCACCTTTACAGGTATGGCCAGACGGTTCTCCCGAAATGACTGGAAGTGGAAACTCCGCTGCTGGGCAGCTTTCTTCACGGGCACCAGGTTCCCAGAGAGCTCTGCAAACAGGGACATTCCCTCCAATACCTGCGGGAGAGGAAAAGCAGATACAGCTTGTAGGGAAGGGCCCAGATGTCCCACCTTCAACCTTTAACCCTTCCCTCTCCGAGACACACCCTGCCACAGCCAAGAGGCATGGCGGGGTGTGCTGAGAAATCCACTGTTTGTTTTGGGAACGGCTTTATTTCCAAAATTGTGATGAATGAGGCATGCTTCCTGACTTCAAAGGATTTTGTAGTATGTAGGGATCTTCAAATACCCCTGAGATGTTGATGAGAATTGCTATCAAGCACTCTGAAATTTCACTTGAATGTCATAACATAGCTCTGGAAAAAAACAAAACAAAACCCGGTTCTGGGCTGGGAACAGTGGATAACACCTGTAATCCCTCCACTTTAGGGGGTCAAAGTGGGAGGACTGCTTGAGGCCAGGAGTTTGAGACCAGCCTAGGCAACATAGGGAGACACCCTCAACTTTACAAAAAAATTAGCCAGGTGTGGTGGCATGTGCCTGTAGTCCCAGCTACATGGGAGTCCGGAGGATCACTGGAGGCCAGGAGGTGGAGGCTGCAGTGAGCTATCATGGCACCACTGCACTCCAGCCTGGGCAACAGAGCGAGATCCTGTTTCTAACACCAAAACCCAGGTTCTGTTTTTATGTCTATCCAAAGATGCTTTGTCATGAGAAGAGCTGGAAAGCACTTGCTCTATTTTAACCTCACCTACAATAATGATCCCTATTGTATAGATAAAGCTTTCAACTGAGGAGTTATCATTAACCCATTTGACAGTCGAGAAAAACTGAGGTTCATTGCAACCTCTTCCTCCCAGGTTCAAGTGATTCTTCTGCCTCAGCCACGAGTAGCTGAGATTACAGGCGTGAGCCACTACACCCAGCTCATTTTCAGTACAGACACGGTTTCACCAGGTTGGCCAGGCTGGTCTTGAACTCCTGACCTCAGGTGATCCGCCTGCCTCGGCCTCCTAAAGTACTGGGATGACAGGCGTGAGCCACGGCGCCTGGCCTGGCCAGCACTTTTAACAGTCGCTGGTGCACAAGACCTTCTGCAAATGCCCAGCTCTTTTCACAGATCACTAGACCAAAAGCCTGCAGCCTCCTCTGAGATACGCATGGTGGCATCACTCACTTTTCCTGAAGCTTCTCTAAGATGCATCTCAAGAGGGGTCTCAAAGAGAGACAGCTGTGGAGCCCCTCATCTACAAAGGGAGGACTGCCTGCCTGCACCAGGCACTGGTTTGTCCCGGAGGTGGTGCAGGGCCCAGGCCTGTACCTCTATGTCCCTGCTCCGGGCCACCTCCACAAAGTTCTCATGCTGCTCCAGGGTCTTGTCCACCTTGTCATCTGTCATGCAGTAGCAGCGCAGGCGCCCCTCTCGGGGGTCATTCATTTTGGCAAAGATGACAAATTTGGCCATGTAGGGCACTGCGGTGAGCTCTTTGTACAGCAGGGTGGCGAAGTTCACAGCCTCAGCGGTCCGAGGACAGTCCGACAGCCAAAACCTGAAAAGCAGGGTGAGTTAGACCGTGTTCCCAAGTGCCCAACAGAAAGCATCCTTTCCATCCAGACGGGAGCAGCCAGTAAGCCACGCCATGGTTATAGTGCCACAGGGCCACAGAGTCTTCCACGTGTAGGGGACAGTGACGGAGCCCTGGCCTCAGGCCTAGATGGCAGCATGGAGCCTGAGGATGGCCCACACATGCTGGCTGGGCTGGCCTTGTCTCACCTGGCAGAGACGTTGGTGGTGAAGTTGGCGCACTCATTGGCATACACAAGCTTGGTGGTTCCTGTTATGTCTTCCCACTGGGCCTGGTCTGTTCCACCTGTAACACCGGCAGAAACGGGGCTGGGGACAGTCTCCAGGACGTAAGCACAGAGCTTACTAAAATGCTAAGGCCCTGGTGTGCAAGGGTAAGACTGGGTGAGGCTCACCTGGTCTGCAGTCCTGGCACACTATCCTCACCCTCTGCTCCTCCTCCTACCCTCCTAGTGACCTGCATGCCCTCCTCCTAGGGCTTGGAAGCTTCTTTCCCAGGGGCATGGACTTTTTTTTTTTGAGATGGAGTTGTTGCCCAGACTATAGTGCAATGGCGTGATCTCAACTCACTGCAACCTCTACCTCTCAGGTTCAAGTGATTCTCCTCCCTCAGCCTCCGGAGCAGCTGGGATTACAGGGATGCACCACCACACCCAGCTAATTTTTGTACTTTTAATAGAGACTGGCTTTCTCCATGTTGGTCAGGCTGGTCTTGAACTTCTGACCTCAGGTGATCCACCCACCTCGGCCTCCCAGTGCTGGGATTACAGGAGTGGGCCATCAGGTGGGGGATGGACTTTTATGCAGATGCTTCATCCTTCCTTCTCTTGGAAAAACACCTCATTCTCCGGGAAGCCAATAAAGCCCAAGGGCACTGCAGGCTTCGCCTTCTTCCCCCACCCCCACTCCGTCACTCCCCTACTGTGTTCTGGAAGTCTGAGGCAGGGGCCCCTCTCACCAATGACGCTGCAGAGCAGGCGCAGGCTGGTGGTGTCTCCCTCCCCGCTGTCCCTCGGGTTGTCAGTCCAGGAAGGAGGAAGCGGGATCCGAAGCCCGATGGGGCGGTGGAACTTCCGGCGCCGGGGCTCCACAGTGACAATGGGGCTGAATGTGGCCTGGTTGCCCAGGAGCTTGGTGACAAGCTCATCTGGGACAGGCTGGGCCTGTGAGATGACAGAGGCAGGACACTCAGGCAGGAGAGGGGCTTGTCAGATGGGAGGCAGCCCCACGCCTGGCGAGATTGGCCCTCGGTGCACGGGGTCACCCCAGCTGTTGGACCACAGGACCGACACCGTGTAGCCTGCCTTCCTGAGCCCTTTCTCCCCCACTGCTCTGCCTCTCACTCCCAGGGCTGGTGCATCTTTGCTTGCATCAAGGTCAGCTCCCGGGGGTCATGTGGTTCCCGCATGCTGCACAGACTGGGTCATGTGGCTTGATGGGTTCCTTGAGGGGCTCTGCCACTCATCAGGGAGCTTCCGCCTCAGCCTCCCCACTCAACTCTCCTGTGAGCTTTAAGGTCAACTCTCTACTGTGGCATTTCACAGCACCGCACAAAAGCATGGGGCTGTCCCAGGGAAAGAGGGTGGCCTTCCCGGGGCCCGGAGTCAGTCCACCCCAGGACCTGGTGGGAAGGAGGGCTGCGTCACCTGCAGAGCCAGCTTCACTCTCTTGGTGACGGCGTTCTCCGGGAACGTCGCCTGCACCAGGGGCACCAGCTTGCTCTTCAGGGCGCCGCCTTCGGGGCCGATGGTATCGTAGTCCTGGCAGAGCCGCGACATGATCACGAAGTACAGCGGGAAGTCGGTGGTGATGATTCTGCATACCCTCTTCTTCTCCAGCTCCTCCAAGCTTCCCAGCTCTGGACCCACACGCACAGGCCAGCACCCCGGTCACATTGGGCACAAGTTCAGACCTCACAGGGGCCCCAGAACCTCCTTGTCCCCAAGACCCAGTGCCCATACCCTCCCCAAGTGCCTGGCGGCACAGTGGCCCAGCAGAGCAGATGCAGCTGCAGGCGGTGGCTGATCGTCCCCTCACGTGTCCTGGGGACACAAGACTTGACCACACTGGGCCATTGCCAGCCTCTCAGGGCTTCCCAAACTCCAGGTGGCTCTGAAAGCCCATCTTGAAGGTGCAGCTCAAACCCCTCTTCCGGAAGGCGGAAACCCAGCCCTGGAGTCCCTGCCCCTACCTTCATCCATCCCATTGAGGATCTGATCCAGGTAGCTCTCTCCATAGCGGCTCCTGTGCTCCTTCCACACAGAGCCGTTTTCGCTCCTCAGAACCACGAGCTCACGGTCTCCACGGCCATGGGAGGCAAAGTGCGGGATCTCCACGATCACAGGGCTGAGGCGAGGACACAGTGGCAGTGGGGAGGAGCTCACGTGGGGCAGGCGGGCCACAGGGAGGGATGGGGCTGCCGGCTCCCACCCAGAGGGAGAAGGTGCTTCCGCAGCCACGTGGAGGCCCCACCTGCAGGCGGTCTCTAAGCGGACCAGACGTGGTAGGGGGGCGGCAGGGCTTCCCATGGCCCTGCTTGCTCCCACCAAGCCTACCGTGACAGTGAGGACAGGGCTGTCTCATTTCACGGGGGCTCTGCTCCCATGACCTAAGGATCCTGTCCTTGGACCTGATTCCAAAAACCCGCCTGACATCCCTAGATAGGTGACCTCATCTATGGACTGGCCATAATGTCCCCCCACATTTCCTTTGGAGGGACACTTTGAGAACTAAGAAAAGTCAATGAGAAAACTTGCTACTTTGTAAATGGTGGTGACCGCTCTGAGGGGGCCAAGAGGGTGGACAGAGGTAGAAGGCAGGGCCTCCGGGTCAGGTCTGTCCCTACATCACACTCATGGTGCCTGGGGGGTAGCAAAGCCCCAGGGGAGCCCAGGCTGCTTCAGGGGAGTGGGGCACAGGCCTCTGGAGCTGGGTACTCTGCTCGTGCTCAGGGGAAATGGCCGGGGAGGCCGCCTTCCCAGGACTCTCAGTGCATGAATGGTCAGCCCCTCAGGGCCTCAGAGTGGCCTTGTCTCTGGTGTCATGCAAGATTTAACAGTTGCTTTTGAGTTTTGCTTTTTTTTTTTTTTTTTTTTTTTCACAATAATGGGGTCTCGCTATGTTTCCCAGGCTGGTCTCGAACTCCTGGCCTCAAGGGATACTCCCACCTCAGCCTCCAAAGCACTGAGATTACAGGCATGAGCCACCATGCCCGACCTAAGATCTGAGAGTTGTAAGCCCTCGCAGGGCTATGGATGCCAGGAAAGGGGGAGGGACACCCAGTTCTGTTTCCCCGTCAGGACAGTGGAGGTGGCGTGGCCTCCATGGCACAGGGAGAGGTGAGGACGCGGGTTGCCTGTGCACGCTCACCTCAGGAACTGTGCCCCCGTGGGCCCCAGTGCGATGATCCTGCTGGCCAGGCCCTCCTCCTCAGCCAGTGGCGGCGGCGTGCTGAGCTTTTGGGGCTTGACCAGGCGGCAGGTGATGCGGGTGGGCGCTGCGCACGTCCGCGGGGGGATCACCACTCGCAGGCCGTTGTGGCGACTTCCTCTCATGGAGCCACCCCGGGCATCAACCATGAAGCTCACCAGAAACCTAGGAGCGGGGTGGGGAGGCACGTTGGGCTTCTGCATCCCCTCTTGGAGATGGGAGTCCCTGAGCCCTGCGCCCGCCACTCACCCTGTGTGCACTGGGCTGGCCACTGGGCTGATGTTGTCTGAGGTCTCAGTGGCTGGGCTGCTGGGGATGAGGGAGTCCTCATCATACTCTTTAGATGCCTGAGGAGAGAGAAGTGGTCCTGCTGTCCCACTTCCGCCAGGGCCGGCTGGATGCCGTGCCAGGGTGTGGAGGCTTGGAAGAGCCTTGCCGCCAGAAACAAGGTGCCCCATAGAGAAAGCACTCCCATGGCACCGCCCTGTCAGACAAGCCTGTCCTGGAGTCTAAAAGGAAACACGAGCTTCCTCCCCTCTCCATGCCTCTCCACGGCTCAAGACCCTGGGACAGAGCCTTGGAACGGATGGAGCCGGTCCTCGCTGTTGAGTCCAGCTCCCGGCCCCAGGCCCTCCACACTTGCTGCAGACCCGAGTTCCCTTCTCTCCAGCTCTGCCCCACGGGAGCCCTGCCCTCGGCCAGCCGGCTTCCTCTCGGGTGGGTGCTGCATCCCAGCACCGTGACCCCCACCACTTAGCTGTGGGCGGGCTGCCTGCCCTGTGGACATCTGGAGTCCATGAGGTGAACACAACAGACCCCTGCCATTGTGGGGCTTCCTGCTCCTCACCTGTGAAATGGGGACTTGCCTTAGGGTAACATTGCAACTACAGGGACACCAGGTGGCCCTGTCACAACCAGCAGGGCCTGAACCCAGCCTCCGTGCTCTCTAGATCTTCACATTTGCTTTTCCCCCGGTCCAGAACGTCCTTGTCCCTCACCCTTGTTGATCTAATCCTCTCCACTCCCCGCATCTCACTCCTCCAAGAATCCTCCCAGCCTTGGGGCTGGCTCGGTCCTCCCTGCTCTGCACTCTATGAGCACTCACACCACACAGTGGAGCACTCCCCCGCTCTCCCTCCCGGTTTGGTGCTAACTGGGTTCATGTGTCCAAGTCCGCTCTTCCCGGTTGGACCCTGGCTCCCAGGAGGCAGGCACCCAGTCCTCCTGCCTGAGCCTGTCCAGGGCGCACAGCAGGAATCCGGTAAACATCTGCTGGCTGGAGCTCCTACCCTAAGCCAGAGCTGAAGACAGAAGGCTGGTCAAGGACCAGCTGGTTTCTCACTGGTGCTGTCCTGGGCTGCATCCAGGGACTGCGCCACCGCAGGAAAGGGCCGCATCTGACCACCTCTCCCAGATGCCGCCCACCCAACACGGCCAATGTTGCACCACTGTGGGGCGTCCAAGTGTGGAACGCTGGTTAGACAGCAAGTGGCATGTGAGCTCTTATTTCCTGTTGTGCTACGTACAGGCCATCCCTCAGCAATCACTGTCCTGGGGCACTCATGCTCTCCACGCGGGAAAACCACAGAGATGGAACTTCTCACCTGCTCTGGCTCTTCTGACCTGATCACCACCGTCTCGGGCGTGACACACGGAATCCTGGGGATGGCGGGAGATTCTACCCTGCGATCCGAGAACACCAGAACATCACAGGGCTGATCCACAGTGCACACAGCTTCCTCTTCCTCTTGTTTCCAAGTCTCTCCCTCCCGCTTTCCACTTGGGAGCCCAACTGCCCTTCACAACCTGGTGGAAGGACCGCCTCCTCCTCCATGAAGTCCTCCCCAGCGACTCCAACCTACACTCGTCACCCCTTTCTGCACCTGCAGAGCCTGTTGACAGAGGCCCCACTCTGGCTAACAATGTATCTTTCTGCATTGCTACGACCACTCGGTGGGCATTTGGATCCCACCAAATGAATCCGTAAGTTGCTTATGGTCAGGGTCAAAGCTCTGTATTTCTTTCTAACAGATGTCCAGCAAATTGAAATGGACTAAGTGTCCCCGTGGTTTCACTCCCCGCTTGTTCCACTTCCCTGTTTCCTATAAGCCACGGGATGCTTCCGTCTTTTCAGAAAACACCTAAGGCTCTGCGTTCCTACAAAGTGGTCAATATTAGATAGCTTTGCAAAATGTCCCTGCGTACAATGTACACACAGTGAGACAACCCACAGCAGTCACGGCGGGCAATGAGAAGCGTGGTCCAGGCAGACCCGGATCTCCCCGGGCTGGTACCCACCCATCCCTCAGGGGCAGAGGAATCAGGTCAGAGTTTGAGCTTAGCCTGGCAATAGTTTCTAATGTGAATCTTCAAATTTTTTTTCTTTGAGACGGAACTTTGCTCTTGTTGCCCAGGCTGGAGTGCAGTAGTGTGACTCGGATCACTGCAACCTCTGCCTCCCAGGTTCAAGCGAGTCTCCTGCCTCAGCCTCCTGAGTAGCCGGGACTATAGATGCATGCCAACCTGGAGGCTGTTATTTTGTATTTTTGGTAGAGACGGGGTTTCGCTATGTTGGCCAGGCTGGTCATGCACTCCCAACACCCGCCTCAATCTCCCGAAGTGTGGGATTACAGGTGTGAGCCACTGCACCCAGCCATCTTTCTTAACTTTTGGATGAGAAGTTGAGTGTGCATAAGAGGGAGAGGGGGTGTGGATATAAGGCTGTGAATGAGGGGAGCCTGGGAGAGGAGCAGAGAGGCAACTAGGCAGCGTGGTGTGGGGAGGCCTCTGCGCTCAGGTGCGGAGCTGGCGCATCCTAAGGTGCAAACCATCTCTCTCCACAGGCAGCACACCCAGCACCTGGCCTGCTGTGCCCTTCCTCCCTCTAGAATCCCTGCTCTGAGCCACAGTGCTGCACCTCAGCATCCCCCCGGGGACCCTCCTGGGAGCGCTGCTCACACTTGGTCTAGCTTCGGCACAAAATCCAGCAGCTCCTTCTCTTCATCGACATCCCTGGAATCCTGCCTCTCAGCCTTGGAGCCGATGAGTTCCTCCCCTGAAACAGCAAGAGTGAGCGACAGGGTGGAGGGAGAAGAGTCCCTCTTTCTTTTTAAAAAGTGCTGTTTCCGCTCTGCCTCTCGCCTCTCGGGGGCTTGCTCCTGAGGTGTGGGGAAGGCCTCGATGCTGCAAGGAGACTGGGACCTATGTCTTTGCCCAGTCCTGGTCCTCCAGCGCTGGGATAGAGAGCAGGGCAGCCAGCTCCTGACATCTTAGATGCCCGAGGCTTTGCGGGAGGCCAAAGACACAGCCAGAAGGAACTTTCTTCACTTAGTTCCAATTCAAAACAGCCCTTTTAGGTGTGCCATGGCACCAAAGAAGGAACCGCTGCTGCTCTTTTCCACTCCACACCGACAGGAGAATAAACTACAGTGGAACTGGACCCATTCCTTTCAAAGGGCTGGAGAAATTTTTGTAACCATGGCAGCCAGAACTTCCTTACTTCCAAAGCCCAACACAAAGAGGTTCAAACTATGGGTGAATCAGCTGCCTGCACCCCTGACTGCCTCTTTGTTTCTCTCCCCTAGCTTGATCTGGAGCTGGAGCCCCAGGCCTCGACCTTGAGGGGTCATGCATTGCCACCCAGCAGTGAGCACCCTGGCTTGCGATCTGGAGCTGACAGGATGGAAGGACAACAGCTCATGCAGTTATGATCACAAACACGGTGGTATGGGCACAGACACAGAGATGGACAGGCGGGAGCTGCCCGCTGGCGCACAGGTCTCATGGGTGTGAATTCCCTGGTTTAGTCGAGCTCCTGGCTCCAGATTATTAGCTGTCAGAGGAAGATGGAAAGCAGGCATGGATTAGTGAGTGTTTGGGTTGCTTAGGGTGAAATGCACTCTGGTGAGAAAAGACCACAGGAAACAGAAAGCGTTTCATACCCATTATAGTTATATGAGCAGTTCCTGGAAAGCAAAGGAAAGCCGAGTTGAAAGAAAGACCACATTGAAGGCAGTTACAGTGCGAGGCATGTATATTATCCAAAGGAACACCAGAGAGCTCTGCTCCTCTAGTTGACAAAGTTATACAACCACGGAATTATCCGGATGGAAGGGAGCACCAAGCTGATCCAGCCCACCCTACCGTTCAACATCCCCATCTAATCAGTGAGGAAATAAGTTTTGTTGGGAGTAGGAAAAGGCTAGAAGCATTCTGTAGTTCATAGAAGCTGAAACTATAGTGATTTCTTTCTTTTTCTTTTACAGACAGGGTCTTGCTCTGTCACCCAGGCTGGAGCACAGTAGGGTGATTACAGCGCATGGCAGCCTCGAGCTCCTGGACTCAAGCAATCCTCCCATCTCAGCCTCCTGAGTAACTGGGACTGCAGATGTGCACCACCACATCCCACTAATTTTTAGTTCTAATTTTTTTGTAGAGACAGGGGTCTCCCTATGTTGCCCAGGCTGGCCTTGAACTCCTAGCCTCAAGCAATCATCCAACCTTGGCTGCCCAGAGTTCTGGGATTACAGGCATGAACCCAGGCACCCAGCCAGATTATAGTAATTTCATAATCACAGAAATAACCCAAAACCTACTGACCCACTGTGTGGTCAGAAGTGCAGCTTAGTAAAAGGCATTCTCACAGATTTTCAATAATCCCCTTAGTATTTGTTCAAAGCACAAAGAAAGAACTAGGCAGAATTTTATTACAGCTCCTCATGGCACTGAGAGTTGATCTGAGTAGAACCATGCTCCAATTTGATACTCATGCATAATCTATGCAAACATACATGTATTTTTTAAACTTCATGTGATTTTAAATTTAGTCAATGTTCCTTCACATTGTATTAATGGAGTAGTATTTTTGATTGTATTAATGGAGTAGTGCTTTTGATAATAGACAACAGTTATAAAAAGCAGGTCTGCCCAGTTTCAATGTTCATCTGCAGTGCTTGGGCGAGCTGTAAGGGAGCGAAGCCAGCAGGTGGCAGGAGGCCCCCTTAGAGGGTGCCTGGAGCGCCTCTGTCCCTACTAGCCTGAGCTCATTACCCCAACTTTACCTTCATCTTCCGAGACATCCAGGATCTCATCTACTGTCTCAGGGAAACTCATCCGATGCTTATCACTGACTAACTACAAAGAGAAAAAGCAGAGAATTCAACCCAGACTAGAGTTATGCACTTTTCCACCAGTCCAGCGGTTCCCTGGTCATGCCTGTAGGATTTGCCCCAAATGAAGAAAACAGACAGAGGAGACGCTCAGCCTGGAAGCTGCTGGGCGGGAAGCACTGGGATGGGACCCAGGAAACCTGGTTTCCCATCTCCCCAAACCCCATCCACCCCGCTGCTGCCCAGGAACTCTGGTCCCGCCCTGAGTCCTCGTGCCACTAGGTGGCAGCACAGCTCCGCTGGAAGGAGGACAAGCGCCCACCTGTTGGGTTAGGCGCCTCTGACAGGCGTCCCGGAGTCCCAGAACACACCTCACTTCCAGAGTAATCCTGGGCACGCCCGTGAGCCAGGCTGAGCGTGTCCAGGGTGGGTGCGAGGGAGAGGCAGACATACCACGAAACTGGTTTCATCTGTGACAACCTTGAGTACGTCGGTGACAGAAATGTAACCCAAGCGCTTGGCTATGGCCAGAGGTGTGGTTCCATCCTGGGAAAAGAGCAGCCGGGTGCAGTCAGACAGGGGATGGAGTCTGGGAGGCGGGGATGGCCCCTCAGACGCATATTGAATTCATTTTCTAGTTGTTCAGGAAGACCTGAATGGATGGACGTCACCGTGGAGCCCAGAACGAGATCTCTGCACGGGTGTATGCCTAGATGTGTGTTAGCAGCAGCACCCACAGAGACTGGTGTGGAAGGAGAGAGGGCAGCGGTGCTTTCTATCTGCAGTGTCAAGTGTGGGGCCTTGCAATCCCCCAGAGGAAATCTCCCCAGAAGTCAGGCTCTGTCCAGTGGGAATCCCCTGGGAAGGAGGTCAGGAAGTTGCCAGGTGCAATTTTAGGAGGATGAGGACAGAGGGAGGCTGCTCGCTGCTCCCAAAGTCTGTTCTTGGGTGTCAGTGAAGAGGTATTGAAATAGTTGAGTTAAGCCATATACTTCAATGAACTCTAATGAGAATACTCAGAAATCACCAATCACGAGAAATTCAGCAACAGCATATTTTCTACTTCAACTTGAAGAGAAAGAGCTACGTGACCAACCATAAATGGATACTGAGGCTTGATTGTTCTGACATCTCTACTTCCAGGATGTGCCTTGGGCTCCATTCAGATTCAAGCCCAGCTGCAGCTGCAATTTCTGCAACCACATCTACAATGAAGGGTCCCCCTTTTTTTTTGTGAGACAGAGTCTCGCTCTGTCACTCAGGCTGGAGTGCAGTTATGTGGCCTTGGCTCACTGCAACCTCTGCCTCCTGGACTCAAGCAGTTCTTGTGTCTCAACCTCCTGAGCAGCTGGGACTACAGCACCTGTCACCTGACCTGGTTGATTTTTGTATTTTTATTAGAGACAGGGTTTCGCCTTGTTGGCCAGGCTGGTCTTGAACTCCTGACCTCAAGTGATCCACCTGCCTCGGCCTCCCAAGTGCTGGAATTATAGGCGTGAGCCACTGTGCCCAGCCAAGGGTCCACATTCTTTCAGAAATAGAAGTAGACAGGGAGATAATTTCACAGAGCCTCTGCATGTTCAGATGCGGAAGCTCATACTGAACAACGATTGCTGATGTCGCTAAAGGTAACCCGAGCCCTGAAAGATCAGGGACCACCCAGGACACCTAATTTTGTTCACTTGCGCCATAGTGAAAATAGTTTCATTAATTTAAGAAGAGGTTTCAACAAGTGTATATATGTAGTTTGTGTCTATGTGTATATATACATATACATATATATATATATTTTTTTTTTGAGACGGAGTTTCGCTCTTGTTACCCAGGCTGGAGTGCAATGGCGCGATCTCTGCTCACCGCAACCTCTGCCTCCTGGGTTCAAGCAATTCTCCTGCCTCAGCCTCCCGAGTAGCTGGGATTACAGGACTACAGGCATGTCCCACCATGCCCAGCTAATTTTTGTATTTTTAGCAGAGGCGGGGTTTCACCTTGTTGACCAGGATGGTCTCAATCTCTTCACCTCGTGATCCACCCGCCTCGGCCTCCCAAAATGCTGGGATATACATATATTTTTAAGACACAGGTCTTGGTCTGTCATCCAGGCTGGAGTGCAGTGGTACAATCACAGCTCACTGTAGCCTTGACCTCCTGGGCTCAAGCCATCCTCCCGCTTCAGCCTCCCAGTTAGCTAGGACTACAGCTAATATGAGCTACCATACCCAGGTAATTAAACACAATTGTTTTGCAGATTCAGGGACTCACTGTGTTGCCCAGGCTGGTCTTGAACTCCTGCCTGCAAGCAGTCCTCCCACCTTGGCCTCCCAAAGTGCTGTGATTACAGGTGTGAGCCACTGTGCCCGCACTCAACAAGAATATTTAATAAACATAAAAGGGGACCATAAATGGTGCTTGAAAGGAAAATGATCAGTTCACCAGAAGGAGGAAATGATCACAGCACCCCATTCCCAGGGTACCCAAGATAGCTGTGGCTTTAGGGTGCTGCAGTCCTGGCCAGGCCTGCCCCAGACATGTATTAACATCTACAGTTAGGGGAGGTTACCCAGGGCTCCCGCCATGGGGAGAAGTTTTCTAAACTCAGGGGAGAGAGTGTACTCACCGAGCTGACCTCGTTTGGGGAAGCACCGTTTTTCAGAAGCAGAGTCACGATGTCTGTGTGTCCCTGCTGGGCTGCCTGGTGCAGGGGGCTGTATCCTAGCTGCAGAGCGAGCAGACATTTTGGCAAGGTTAGCCAGCCAACAGAGAGAGATCTGCCCACACACGACAGTGCCTGTCCATCTTCTTAGTGGGACATTAATAAAATGCATTTTCCCCCGTTCCTCCTTCAGGGGCCACAGTCAAAACTGTGGCGGAACCCCTGATGCCCCCAGAACAGCTCTGGCTGCCCCGATTGATATGGCAGAGAGTAGGGTCAGCACAGGAGTTGGGCTGAGGCATCCCTGTACCTTGGTCTTGGCATTGACATCTGCCTGGTGCTGCAGCAGAAACTTCACCAGCTTGATGTTTCCGTAATGACTGGCCACGTGGAGGGGAGTGTAGCCCATCTGAAAAGCAGATGAGAAGGAATGACTGGAGCTCTCCTGAGCGGGGCATCACACGAAATCATTCCCAAAGCAGCTGATTCAAAGAGAGAATGGACAGGGAGCCCCCCGGGAGGCCGACATTGACAAGCTGGATGGCTGCTGCTGGGGAGAAACCGGCGGGCTGAGACACTTGTGGAAGGGGAGATGTCAAGCGGGCAACTGGAAAATGGACACTGAACCGTGAGAAGAGGGCTGTGCTGGGGTCATCAGTGCACAGGAGATCTGAGGGCCTCGAAGGTGAGTGAAGTCCCCCAGGATAAAGTGGAGGGCAAAAAGTGGGGCCGAAGGAGCGAGGCAATACTTAGAGGCAGAGGCAGAAAAGAGGGAGGAGGTAAACCGGGAGAGTAGCGTCATAGAATCCTGGGGGGTGGCTATTTCAGGAAGGAAGAAAGAAGCCCTCAGGCCTGAGAAGGGCACGGGGACGAGGGCAGATGGGGCTGTGGGGTCATGGTCACTCCAATGACAGCAGGCTTATTTGCATTAGAAAACTGAAATCCCATTGAAAAACCCCCAAAAGACTGTCCAAGTGACTTAGTTGTGCTGTGATGGAATTTCTGGGATCTGGTCATTGCTTGAAACGCATGGGCTTGGGACATTTGCTCATGGGAGTCTAGGCTGTTCAAGGAGCCTGTGCTGCTGAACCCAGTGGCACCGCCTCCTGGGGGCCGGCAGGCCAAGGCCCTCTGAGCTCCTTGGTCCCAAATGTTCCAGGAAGCTGGTGCCAGGTTCCAGAGACCACCCAAGCACAGGTCCATGGGACCACAGCCATCACGGGATGGCTTTGGGATCCTTGAGGCCATTCTAACTCACAGGACAGGGTCCCTCTGTGCAGGACCTTCAAAAACTAAATGACCCATAAGTGAAGTCTCAAAGATCCAGAAGATTCTAGGGTTTTAAGCAGATTTCTGTGGAAGCTGCAGGCAGTTGGAGACAAAACACTATTGTTGCCGGCATTTCTGTGCTACTCTGGAGGGGCGGCGGCTGCTGGTGCTGTCATTGTCACTGTCCCTTCCTTTTAATACGGTCGACTTGTGGGGAAAAGGAGCAAAATGTGGCTTCTTCCCTGAAGCTGCCTCTTCCCACCAACTGAAAACGCCCTCTCCGGCCTCTGTGCTCCCAGCTGCTCTCTTAGAGTAAATACTGAATTACTCTCTTCCTTCTGGCCCTAGCAATCACCTCCATGCCAAACTGTAGACGCCTCAAGGGCAGATTCTGCTCACAGAGCTCCTCGCTCACAGCAGAGGTTCAAAGAAAGTTGAACTGAATTTAACCAAGTGCTGGAAGAAAAGGGGCTAAGCTTTTGTGTGGATCTGGGGAAAGTTGACATTCTGACATGCTGACTGCTCGTGTTAGACAAGTCTCAGAGTCACGATTAAACATTCGTCCCACTTTCTCACTGCAGAGGCTCAAAGGTCTAGCAAACTTTAAAAAATCCCCAATGGAAAAGTCAGATAATTAGGAGCAGTGTTTTCAGACTCCACTGCCAGCCCTAGGAAGGGCAGAGAAGAATGTCCCACTGGGTCCTTGGGGTTTCAAAGCTCCGTCGAAGATTCAGTTCTCAAGTGTGAGCAAGAAGCCCACACAGACCGTAGCTCCAACTGCCTGCCTTACCCGGGTGGTGGCGTCCACCGTCACGCCGTGTTTGATCAGCACGTCTGCCACTGGAACGTGGCCTTCTTGTGCTACCAGATGGAGGGGAGTGAGTCCACTCTGCAAAAAAAAAAAAAAAAGAAAGAAAAAAAAGATGTCCATTGCCTATTAGCAAGTAAAGAATTCCAGGCCACAAGAAAAGAGCTTTGAGGTTTGGGAGCTGAAGGGGACTCTGCAGTCATCAGCTAGCTTTTTGGCTCCAGGCAAAGCTCTTCTTGTTCTGGGCCCCAGTGTCCTTATCTAAAAAGTCAGGTGGTTACACTAGATCAGGAGTTGGCAACTTTTTCTGTTAAGGGCCAGATCATCAATATTTTTGACCATGCTTCTGTATGACTAACATTTAAATGAATGGGCATGGCTGTGTTCCAATAAAACTTTATTTACACAAACAAGTGGTGGGCTAGATTTGACCCACCCCACAGTTTGCTGACTTCTGATCTAGTTGAACTTTATGGTACTTTCCCATTGTTGGTGCTTTATGGTATCTTCCTGATAAAGAATGCCCCATTTCCATGGTGACCTCTGGAGCCCTGAAGCCTTGGTTTCCTAATCTAGACAATAGGGGTTGTCATGGCTCCATCTCAGGGGCCAAATGGGAAGCCCTTGAGAGGTACACAGTGCTGTTAAATGTAGTACACGGGCTGGGCGGCCAGGTGAAAGGGCGTCACGCCCTGCACCGACTCGGCATTTGCTGAGCCCCCACACTGGCTGGGGGCAGAGGCTCACGCCCATCATCCCAGCACTTTGGGAGGCTGAGGCAGGCAGATTACCTTTGGGAGGCTGAGGCAGGCAGATCAGCCTGGCCAACATGGTGAAACCTGTCTCTACTAAAAATACAAAAATTAGCTGGGCATGGTGGCTCATGCCTATAATCCCAGCTACTCAGGAGGCTGAGGCCGAAGAATCACTTGAAACTGGCAGAGGTTGCAGTGAGCTGAGATAGTGCCACTGCACTCTAGCCTGGGCGGCAGAGCAAGACTCTATCTCAAAAAATTAATAAATACAAATCAATCAATCAATCAATCAATAGATGTAGCATAATGTTATCACTGCACAGCCAGTACTGGCATGGTCAAGAGGGCAGAACATCACGCCAGGAGTGAATGAACCATATTCTTGCATGTGGCATCACGGCTTCCTCAGGAAGGCAGTAAGTAAGGCATCAGAGATGTTGTTTGATATGTGGGCACCCACACAAAAATGTCAGAAAAGTCGTCTCTCCCCTGGACTTTCCCTCAATACCCTTTGCTAACATGGGCCAACAGAGCTGGATTCCTCTGCAGGCACAGACTACGTCCCCTCTACAGGACGCCACTTGCCCTCCCCTCCTCTGCCTTCTGCACACCCTGCAGGCTGACCAGAGGCTTGTGAGCAGTAATGACCCCCCACTATACTCCGCTGCGGCCAGAGCCGGTGGTCTCATGCAGGCAGGCGGGGGGCTCAAGCGAGAACAGCCATTGGTTGAGGAGTGACTGTGTCAGCCTCTCAGGCGAGCACCCTGTCTAATTCTCGAGCTAACACCAATAATCTGCCTCGTGAGGGGGATGCATATGAGAGAGCATGTTTCCAGACAGTGACCTTACTGTCTCTTTACGAAGCTCACTTTAAGTGGGACAGTGAAGAAACCCAGGATGCCATTGAATATAACGATCCTGCCAGAATGGTTCCTTCGCTGGGGGTCAACTGTTCAAGTTTTTACAAAATGTACCAGTATTTGTACAAAATCTATAGGTTTTTAGGAAATCGTAAGTTGCCCTGCGCTTGCCTTTCTGAATGTGTGCTATGCAACCTTATCATGTAAAGAAGTGCTTCTTCACACGGCATGGTTCCATGCGTATGAAATGTCCAGAGCAGGTAGATTCCTAGAGACTGAAAGATTCTCGGTTGTGGGGACTGGGAGCTCTGGGGGAAATACGAAGTGAGTGCTAACAGGTATGGGGTTTCCTTTCGGGTGATGAAAGTGTTCTAGAATTAGGTCGTAGTGATGGCTGCTGAATTCTGCAAAAATTCTAAAAAACATTCAAGTGTAGAGTTCAAAAGAGTGACTTCTAGGTGAATTTCAATAAAACTGTTATTTAAAAAAGAAGTGAGTTTTAGTCTTTTTTTTGGGTCATGCATTCCTTTGAGAAGCTGAGAAACACTGTGAATGCTTCAGGCAGAAAACTGGTCAGGTGCCCTTCCTCCCCAGATGTGTGTGCAATTTTAGAAGGCTTTGTACTCACACACCTATTGTCGCTGGAGTGAGAACTCCTAGTGTATAGGTCAGTGTTTTTCAAAATATCTTTCTCCCACGGAACATGGGATATTTAGTCCCAAATGACAGAATGCACTCCTGGAGGTAGGCCCTGGCCTATATTTGGGAAAGTGTGCTATGGAGCTTAGTATTATCTTTCCGCAGATCCTTGAGTCAGTCTGTTCAGAAAGATCAGCAAAGACTTTGGCATCAGAGATGCTCAGAATCCTGACACCTTGGGAATAAGCAACCTTTCTGACTCTGTTTATTCATTTAGGAAATGAAGGTGAAATGTACACAGGGCTGTTGCAAAGATTACACACACACACACACACACACACACACACACACACACAGCACACACACACACCCCTAACTCAGAACCTGGGCACACAGTAGATGCTCAATATGCAAACACCACACGTCGCTAGTTGGCACTCCAGGACAGATCCGAAGACGCCATGCCTACCTTGTTCCCCAGGTTGCCATTGGCTTGTTTGGAGAGCAGCAGAGCCACCATCTCTGCGTGACCTTCCTGGGCGGCCAGGTGAAGTGGCGTCACGCCCTGCACCGACTCGGCATTTGCTGAGCCCCCATACTGCAGCAGACTGCGGGCCACCTCCACCTGGTTCTGCTTGGCAGCGATGTGCAAAGGGGTGTAGCCATTCTGAAACAGAAGAAGCCACCCAGAGCCTGATTACAGGAATGCTGAGCTGACAATATCAACACACGCGCGGGGGCTGACTCTGGTTCTTGGCCGGCTGGACACCCACTGAACGTGGCTGGCGTCACCCGGAAGAAACTTAGGTGAACAAACAGACAAAATCCATTTGACTTGGAGACAGCGCCTCAGGCTTGCATAGCCACTATTCTGTCCACCTTTTTCCCCATCTGTTTTCTGTTATGCTCTGACAAACTGCTGGGCAGGAACAGAACAACTGGAAGCCTGGGTGAGTAAGGAAATGAAAGGTTCTCATTTCTTCCTTCTTGCAAGAAGAGCTGAAAACCCCAAATATTTCATAAAGAAAATGAAACGCCGGTCCCTTTTCTTTCCCAGTGCAATCAGGCTAAGTGCTGCCCTCTGGGCTCTGCCGGCATTAGGCCGGGTGGTTTGTGGAACGTGCACGGGCAAGGGACTTGAGGGCGTGGGACAGTCCTCGCTCCACTCTTAACTAGCTGGGTGACCCAGGGCAAGTTATTCCATAACCTAGACTTCCTTCTGTACCTTTTAAGCCGTTAAAAGTGGATAATAACATCTATCTTGTTCATTTCTTGAACTTGTTAGGTGGATCAAACATGATACTGTATGTGAAAGTGTGTTCCAAAATTAAGATATAAAAAGTTGGCAGGGCACAGTGGCTCATGCCTGTAATCCCAACACTTTGGGAGGCCGAGGAGTGAGGATCACTTGAGGCTAGGAGTTTGAGACCAGCCTGGGCAACATAGCTAGACCCTATCTCTACAAAAAAATTTAAAAATTAACTGGGCATGGTGGTGCATGCCTGTAGTCTTAGCTACTCAGGAGGCTGAGGTGGGAGGATGGCTTAAGCTAAGGAGTTGGAGGCTGCAGCGAGCTCTGATTGCACCACTGCACTGTGGCCTGGAGAGGAGTAAGACCCTCTCTAAACAAGAAAAATTTTAAAAGTAGCACACCTGTGTGTCATGGTTTTGCAGTGCACTGGTTTGCAAGACATTAATAATTGCACAATGAGATGAAGGAGCTTGCCTCAAAAGTAAATCAACGATGTCACTGTGCACTGTTTATTCAGCCAATTTTTGTTTTCATTATTATTATTAATAGCAAGGCTGTCTCAATGAAGGAAGCACTGCATGGGTTTACATTCTGGAGCACACTCATTACCTCCCTGCAGGCAGGAGATGGTCCCCAGATGGGCTCCTTTTCTTGTCACTGCTGAAAACCACTTTCACCTGCATTACCTTTTCTGAGCTTCACTGAAACTACATAAGGTCACTAGGGCAGGCATTTTATTATTGTCCCATTGTGTGGAGAAGGAAGCCAATTCTCCGTGAGGTTAAGCACCTTATCTAATGTCACATAGTAAGCAGAACAACAGATACCCCAACCCTGACCTTCTGATTGCACAGCCCAGGTAATTCAGGTAGAACAGTGGTTCTCAAACTCTGATGTATACACAAATCCCTTGGGACCTTGTTAAAATGCAGAGTCTGGGCCAGTCGTGGTGGCTCACGCCTATAATCCCAGCACATTGGGAGGCCGAGGCAGGAGGATCACCTGAGGCTGGGAGTTTGAGACCAGCCTGACCAACATGGAGAAACCCTGTCTCTGCTAAAGAAATACAAAATTAGCCGGGTGTGGTGGCACATAGCTGTGATTCCAGGGAGGCTGAGGAAGGGGAATCTCTTGAATCTAGGGGGTGGAGGTTGCAGTAAACAGAGATCATGCCATTGCACTCCAGCCTGGGCAACAATAGTGAAATTCTATCTCAAAAAAAAAAAAAAAAAAAAAAAAACAGAGTCTGATTCAGAGGCACTAGGAAGGGCTGAAGATTGTGCTTTTCTAACAAGTCCCCAGGTGATGCTCATAATGCTGGTCCGGGGACCACACTTTGAGTAGTGAGGCCCTAGGGCACTCAGGGTTAAGGACAATGCCAGGCTGGAGGACATCCTGGACATGTGCCCACCCAGGCCCACAGCAGATGGCTGCCCAATGTGGGATCTGTCTCAGGGCGTGAGATTTCCCCACCTCGGCCAGCATTCCTCTGGCTGAGGACTGAGTTCTCCCTGCCAGCCACTCTCTTACTGTGGAAACCAACATTTCTGATTCTGCCAGGATCACCCGTCAGGAAGAGGAAAGGGAAAGAATGGGGCTGGCCAAGGCAATCAAAGTCCCAGGGCCCTCAGCAAGGTGGGCCTGCAGGCGACTTTTGCGGTGAAATGCAAAGTTGTGACTTACCAAGGAATTGCATTAAATGGAAAATCATTCTCCTTGAAGAATGACATGCCATAATCCTTTCTAGTATCCTTCCTTTTTAATTTGATTATGTTATGAGAAAACATTAAATTGTTCTTTGTAGGTTGTGTTCATGTAACAAGATCCAAGTTTGAATTATAATAAGTTTAATTAAACAATGTGATTTTTGCACTGTATCAAAGAGAGCAAAGGAACAGGGTGCCATGCTGCAGATTCATCATGAGATGCGGGGCCGGCTCCAGATGGAGCTAAGCCTCCCCAGTGTGAGACACAGAGCACCAGCCAGCACCAGCCCAGAGGACGTTTTCACTAAGTAAACGAAAAATAAAACCCTAAGCCTCCAAACAGACCCCAACTGGGCCAAAGGGATCCCAGATAAACCTTAAAAACTGAATTCCCAGCCACAAAGGAAGGGAGGAGGTTGGACTTATCTCGCTATACCCACTCCCTTTCGAAGTTTAGGCGCAACTGGCTGGCATTCATATTAAAATAGAGATCATAAGACTAGCCAAAGGGACTCTTTGTGACCAGACAAACATCAACAGGACCCAAGGCCACGATAGGCAAGGGCTGAGTCACACGTCCCCTGGAGGTCACTCGGCCCAGGGCACTGGTGAACAGACCCTTTGCTCAACTTAAAACTTTCTTTTCTGCTGATTCCCAGCTTTTAGACAAAGCTTTACTCCTTTAACCAACCGCAAATTAAAGAATCTCTGAATCGGCCTATAACCTCTGGGCCCTGTTTCTAGGCATTTTTGTCTTCTGGGGTCAAATCAATATATACCTTCCATGTACTGATTTATGTCTTTGCCTGTAACTCCTGCCTCCCTAAATGTATACAGACAAACTGTAACCTGCCCCCGACACGCTTTCTCAGGACCTCTTGAGACTGTGGTGCCCAGGGCCATGGTCACTCACACTGGCCCAGAATAAACCTCAAAAATATTTCATGGAGTCTGCTTTTTCCATTAACAACTACATGAAGCAATGATTATTAGGCCATGTTTTTTTCTGAGTTGGAGTCTCACTCTGCCGCCCAGGCTGGAGTGCAGAGGTGCAATATTGGCTCACCATAAACCTCCGCCTCCTGGGTTCAAGCGATTCTCCTGCCTCAGCCTCCCAAGTAGCTGGGATTACAGGAGTGCGCCACCACACCCAGCTAATTTTCATATTTTTAGTAGCGATGGGGTTTCATTGTGTTGCCTAGGATGGTCTTGAACTCCTGACCACCTTGGCCTCCCAAAGTGCTGGGATTACAGGCTTGAGCCACCACACCCAGCCCTATTAGCCATCTTTTAACATATAAAGGACCATCACTCAAGCAGCCATGCAGTATATTCAGGGATGTATCCTCAGGAATCCCGGGCCACCTGGGCAGGGGTGATGTCCACACTGACAAGGCCAGCCGCCTGTCCTGCCCAAGCGTAGGCCTGCCCTGGACACGGCTCAGGCTGCCAGGTAAACCCCTGGTGAAAACCGAGATACGAGTGCCACTGTTCCTCTCAGAACACGGACTGTCGCTCTGAGCTTCCCCTAAACCAGGACTAAAAGGAACAAATGAGCTTCTGCAAGTGACAACGACAAGGACAACTGGGCTGGAAAGTCACGGAGAGAGGAGGGAGGAATGTGTGCCCGCAAAAGGCTCTTCTTTCCCAAGGAAATGAGCTCATCCTAAGGAATGCATGCGGAGGGAGCTCTGCCCAAATGTTCAAACAACATTAGCATCAAAATTGGAAAGGGGAGGGTTTGGTTTGGGTGCAGAGAGATTTGCATGTGAAATTCTACAAAATTGCCAGACTACTTTGGAAACTATTTTTCGCCATGGAAACAAAGCCCATCTGTACAGGGTTTGTGCTTGGATTTAGCTCTCTTTAAATATCCTGAACCTGGCTCCTGTTCCTTTTATATAAGTAGGAGAGTGAGGAGGAAGGGAGTCCAGGTTTTTATTTTTAGAGGCAGGAGTAAGTCGACATCCCAGCAGGACCGCGTGCTCCCTCTGCACAGCGACGTGGGGCTCGCTGCAGCAGCAGCGGGGACAGGAGGAGACGGGGCTGTCGGGAGCCGCATCTGCAGGAGAGCGATGCTGCAAGATGGGGACACGTGTCTGTCCAGGAAGGAGAATGCACCGAAGCTCCAAGCCACTACTGAGCTCCTGCCTGGGCTGCGGCGGCCCTAAGCCGGCAGGTGTCAGATGGATCACTTGGGGCCCCACCCCAAGGCTCCTTCTCTGCGGCACTTGGACGCCTGCCATGTGACAGAGCGCCAGGGTTTGCTCTCCCATAAATTATCCTGTTTCCCGTGGGCCTGGCTGCCCCACAGAGTGCAGGGACTGCATGTGGCTTTTGTCTTCCTGGCCCCGCTCCCTCTCTTCTCCCCTTCTCCCCACTGGCCACCAGTCCCATGATGCCCATCCCTACACCACCTCGCCTTCCCACAGGGGGCAGTCTGTTCCTCAAAACGGTCCCTCCAGCTTTATCCTTGCACTACCCAACTCTGTGAGGTCTCCCAGAAGCAACGCATCTGCTCCCTCCTCTGCTTCCCTCAAGGGTTAGGGAAACTGCAGCTCCGAGCCTCTGAAGCTGGTGGGAGGCTGGGCCAACTCACGTTCAGGTGAGCGTCCCTATAAAAATGCCACCATCTAGAAGTCTAATCTCAGAGAAATGAATTTGGAGGTGATCATTCTCATTTTAAAGAGGTGACTTGCTTCCAGGTTCCAGCAAGTTCGCTGGCAGCCCTGAGGATTTCTCAAAGTGCAGTTGCTGTGGCCCCAGCCTCGGAATCACGCAGAGAGTAGGTTAAAAATGAGGCTTCCAGGCCACACCGCGCAGTCCCACAGAGTCAGAATCTGCTAGAACCAGGCTCAACACTCCCCAGGGATTTTTATCCATGCTGACCTCTGGCAATCAGTTTACAAAACCCAGCTAACATGCAACTGCTTGGGGACACGTTTGTTGTATAAAGCATGTTCCACCTCTGCGAGGTCACCCCTGGCTAGGAATTGTTACCCACTTCCCATCCCACTCCTGGGCTCTGAAGAGCACGATTACACGGCAGGTAACGTGTGAAAGTGAGGTGTGATTTCCGAGGCAAAAATAACAACAGAACGCAAAACCCTTGGGCTGCTGTGGAACCCCCACTCCCTGAAGGACTGGCAGGTGGCAGGTGGCAGGTGGACTGCTCTCCAGGGGCAGCTAGGGGGAGGGACCGGCCTTACCCAGGCAGGGCTGTGTGGGGAGCCGCCCCTGGGAAGCAGCAGCTTGACGATGTCCAGGTTGTTGTGATGGACAGCCACGTGCAGGGGGGTCAGGCCATTCTGCAGGGGACAAAGACAAAAGAGGGCAGCTGTCACTCCCACGGACTTTCTACCAGGGCTTCTTTTAGCATGGGAGCACCTATTTTATACAGGTAAAATCCTGCTTAAAATCCTTCCCAGGCCAGTCTTAAGAGTCATGACAGAGTGTCACCAGCAAGACCCAGCACCCTGTGGGAACCAGAGGGGATGTGGGCAGTGAGATCAACACAGCTGCCCAGAGAAGGCCATCGGGTCTTTCCAAAAGGATAAGGCCTTTGACAGAAAGGCCAGTCTTTCCAAAGGCTATTCTCCGGCAATGGCTACCCAGGGAAATATGAAGGGGCCAGGTGCAGTGGCTCGCACCTGTAATCCCAGAGCTATGGGAGGCTGAAGAGGAAAGATCACTTGAGCCCAGAGTTTGAGACCAGCCTGGGCAACAGAGTGAGACCCTGTCTCTGTAAATTATTCTTTTAATTAGCCGGGCATGGTGGCACCTGCCTGTAGACCCAGCTACTCAGGAGGCTGATGCCAGAGGGTGGCTTGAGCCCAGGAGTTGAAATTGTAGTGAGCCGTGATGGCACCACCGCACTCCAGCCCGGGTAACAGAGCCAGACCCTGTCTCAAAAAAAAAAAAAAAAAAAAAAAAAAGAACAACGTAGGCAAGAGATGGAATCTGCGAGTGATGAGGTCCATCCTCTGTCCTGGCCTCTAACCAGAGAGCTGCAAGGGTGCAAACTCACTTTCCCCGCGGCATTCGGGTGCGCATCCCGCTCCAGCAGCAGCTCTGCCACCCGCACCTTCCCGTACTTGGCCGCCACGTGCAGAGGGGTAAATCCTTTCTGAGGAGAAACACAGGCCGTCAGGACCTCGAGGCCCCAGGGCTGTTGTCCCTGGAGAAGGACCCATGGCAAAGGAGGCTGTCACCTCCGCTGGCACGGGGGAGCCGATAAAAGCAAAGGCACAGCTATTTTTGAGCACTTGGGCAGGCCAAAGTCCTCAGGAGTCCGCAGGCATCCCTGAGCTCCCTGGCCACACTCCTGTGGCGAGAGGGTCTTGACCACCTCGCAGTGGAAGTTGATCACTGGCTAGCTGAGGGCAGGGTAGCAGTCTTAATCCTTATTTCTCCAGAACCTGTCTGTGACTTGCCCAAAGCAGGTTTTGACTTATAATTGTGCCAAGATAAATGGATGAAGGCTGGCTGGGTGCATGAGAAGCTATGGTTGACCACCCATTCTGGGGAAGGACGGAGACACATCGGGCTTGCAGATGGCGGCCAGCCTTGCGTGTGATGACCCTCCCAGCTGCTTGTAGCATCATTGAGGTGACAGAGAGAGCCAGGCGGGAATTCCCCTCCGAGCCCCAGGCCTGGCAGTGAGTGAGCCTGCTACTTCCTCAGACTGAGAGGAGGAAGGCTGTACCTTGGTCATGCAGGCCTGGGATGCTTCCTTTTCCAGAAGGGCCAGGACAGTTTCCACATGGCCCTCACGAGCTGCGATGTGCAGGGGGGTGTGCCCGGCGGTGGTGGCCAGGTTGGGGTTAGCGTTATTTTCCAGCAGGAGCTTCACCATGTTTGTGTGGCCAATGCGAGCTGCACAGTGAAGTGGGGTCTGGTCATCCTGGACCCCAAAGGGAAAGTAAAGAAGAAGAAACGCCGATGTTACCAAATCCAACTTTCCATCTTACAGAGAAGCAAGGCGGGGCCAGAGAGGGCAAGTGACCTTCTCAAGGTCACATAGCTAAGAAGACGAAGGGTCAGGATTTGAATCAAGTCTCTGAGTTACAGGAACCAATATGCTGTATCCTATTGAGTCTTTACAACAGCTCTTCAAGTTAGCTGCTATTTCTACCTAACTTCCCAAACGCCCAGCCCTCCCATCTGTAAAATGGGAATAATTAATGTCTACGTGCTAGGGCTCACTGGGATCAAGTGGATCATGAACCTGGTTTCTGCATTTGGTGCATAAAAGGTGCTCAATGCATTGTGGTTGCTCATCAGTCTCCCACGTCCTTTCTGAGTGGATGCGCTTCTTTCTACTTGAACTCTACTTTGATTTTCTCTGTGCTAGGGTCAGGGGAGTCTCAGCTGCTGACAAGGAATGGGGACTTTTCCACCCATGCTCCCCCCACCCCCACTTCTTGTTTCTGAAGGCTGCTGTCCATCTGCCCGGGCCAGGTCTCATGGAGCCCAGCTGGAGGCGTCCCTTCAAGGACCCCACAAATCACAGGCTTGACTCTAAGGCGCGCCCTTGAGTCCTGTGGTTAGGAAGCCTGCTGATGGCCAAGAAAGCCACTGGCAAACTCGGCAGCTCTTCTCACTGCCTCCTCCTCCAACCCCCGCAAAATGTGTTTACAGCAAGGGGATCCCTCCAATTTTAGATCAAGTCACTCCTGCCTGATTTTCGCTGGCAATGTTTTCTTCACAAGGTTGCTCCCCTCCTTATATGGCAACTGTCATCATTAGCCCAGGACATACTCGGGCCAGCCACACACCTTGGACTTTCCTTATTTTAAAGAAACGTGGCTCTCATGCAAAAATATCCCTGGTCTTCTCAAACCCCCTGCAAAGCAGAATCCGAGCGCTCAGAGTAACCTGATCAGGAGTGAGAAGGGTCCCCAGTCCAAGGCACTGCGGCCCCGCCTGGAATGAGGATGGGCTCTCTGCGCAGTGCTGGAACTGCTCACATCTGAAACCCTTCCCTTCCTGCCTTCACACTTACCTTGGCCTTGGCATTGACTTTGGCTTTGTTCTGGAGTAAATATTTGGCCACTTCCGTGTGCCCGGCTCTGGCTGCCATATGTAGTGGGGTCTCCACTTTCTGTAAAATAACCAAATTATAGAACTGTTCATACATGCCTGCTATCCAAAACGACACTCACAGAGCTAGGAAGTGCAGCCTGGAGTGGCTGAGTGGGTTTTTGTCCAAGAGGTGGAGTTGTGCCAGCACGCAGCCCTTTAGCCTGGTGTGTATGCATGTGTGCACACGCATGCATGTATGTACATGTGTGTGCACATGCATGCAGGTGCATGCGTGGATGTAAGTGCAAGCGTGTGTCTGTGTATTCTAGGTATACTAAGTAAAACCCAGAGCTAATGAATATTCAAAAATGTAAATGTATTCTCAGTGAATACTTATAGATGTTCCAAAATTATTGTCCAAAACAAAACCTCCAAGGTTTATGGATGTGTGAGAAATTTAATCAGGAAAGTGTCAGTACACAGGGATGTCCTCCCCCAGTCTGAATGTTGGCTATTCTGGGAATTGTAGCTCTGTTCCCAGAGAGGAGGCCTGGGAGCACTAGCGAAAGCTGCCCTCTGGGTCTTTGGTCTAGAGGAGCAAGCCCGTGCCTGCCCGAGGGCTTACCACGTTGGAGACGTTTGGTGATGCCCCCCGCTGCAGGAGGTTCTTCACGATGGGAAGGTGCCCCATGAAGGAGGCCACGTGGAGAGGCGTCAGGCCAGACTGGAACAGACAAGGGCGGAGTGAGATAAGCGGAGTCTTCCCGCTTCCCCAAAGAAGAAAGAACCTAACGGCATCTAACGCTTTCACAAATGGTTTTCCAAGAAAAGGGAGCTAAATGAGGTGGGTTTGCTTCCAAGAAAATGGTTGGAGAAAAAATTACTGTGGGGCAACTTGTGCCCACTCTTACAACTTGCAAAAATTGTGTCTGATCTTGGAAAGCTCCATGAGACTTGACTCATGTCTTAGTCACCCCTGATTCGTTCCTTCGAGCAGTCCAGACTTGCATACACACATACCCCTGCAGTCACACAAAGCTACAGAGAGCGGCGCCTGGAGAAGGTGGCTTGGGGAGAGACCACAGGCCTGCCCCCAGGCTCCTCTGCAGTCTCTCCTACCTCGGTGACCGCGTCAATCGAGGCTCCCGTCTTCAGCAGCAGCTCCATGACACGGACGTGGTTTTTTTTGCAGGCGATGTGTAAGGGGGTGAAGCCATTCTGCAGCCCACACAAAGGGAGACAGACAAGCAGGAGCTTACACATGGGCCCAGGGAATGCCCAGAAGACCACCTTGCTGCTCTAAAAGGCAGCTGCTGCCCAGGCCACCAGCAGAGGCTCACAGACCAATGAATGAATGAATGCCAATTGATTAGTCTTGTAATGTCAATTAATGCAAATCATGTAAAAGACAGGTGGCTCTCACTCGATGCACTAAGTATGCTCCAGAACATGTTGTTTATAAACGTTTTTAAAAAATTTATTCATATTTTTGGATGCACTAAAAAATCCTGCTGTTTAAAACCCCCAAGGGTAAATTTACAATAAAAGAGCACTTTTGTGAAGCAAATCATGTTCCCTCTTCCCTGAAACCGCTGATCATCTTTAGTGAAATCGATTTCTGCTCTAAAGTGTGATGTACTCTGAATGTAAACTCTGAAGGGCAGAAATGTGTGTCTGTTTTCACCTGATTTTTTTCCGTGCTTTACCCACTTAAGGCAGTGGTTCTCAAGCATGGGGGGAGGTGGCGGTATCCTTTGCACCTCACTCCCAAAACATGTGGTAATGTCTGGGGACATTTTTTATTGTCAATTAGGGAAGGAGAGCTATGAGTGCCTAGTGGGTAGAGGCCAGGGATGCTGCTAAATATCCTACAACATACAGGACCACAAATATTGACCCCAAATGTCAATAGTCCTGAGGTTGGGAAATCTCAACTCCCCTACAATGGTATGTGGCCTGCGGGCACATCTCAGTAAAAGTTTTTTGAAGCGCGTGAGTGAATGAATGAATGAATGAATGAGCCATCCTCTGGAGGATATCCTGCCCCTCAGTTCTGCTGCCCTGGGAAGGGGTAGAGGGGAGATGTGGTCACGGGCATGCTTAGTGCAAAGCTGCAGCCCTACTGGATCTCTGGACCTCCCTGGGAGACCCTGGCCTGGGAAGGAGGCAGAGGAACCACAGGAGGGATTTGCTCTGGGCCTGAGTTCCCTCTATAAGAGTGCCATGGGAACTGTAAGCCCCTCTGTGGATGAAGGATGCTCAGCTCCAGTCACCTCACTCATCCCCAAAGTAGCTCAGAAAGCCAGGCAGCCTCTAAGGAATCACTCAGCTCCGGGCCTGGCTCCACTGGAAAGGCACCCCGAGCTCACATACCTATTCACGCATGATGCTTCCTGAGTCCAGTCTCCTGGGCCCAAACTCACCCCTGACCTTGGCCTGGTCACCAGGGGCAGGGATCAATACCCAGCTGGGTGTGGAGTGGAAGGAGCAGGAGGGGTGCATACCAGGCCCCCAGGGGCCTGTGCTGTCACACCCTACTGCTCAGGCCTTGGATCCGGGGAGCTCCGGGCACCTGCCGCCCTTTCCACAGGCCCACCATGCCTCTCTGGTCCTGCTCCCAGCCTGCCCTGCTCCTCTGCACCTTCTGCAGCGGCTCCCCACTCACCAGGTCCTGCCCCCAGCCTGCCCTGCCCCGCCACCAGCCTGCCCTGCCCTGCCCCTCCGCACCTTCTGCAGCAGCCCCCCACTCACCAGGGCTCTGGAGTTGGGCTTGGCCCCTTTATCCAGAAGGACCTTGGCCACCCTGTGGTGTCCACAGTGGGCAGCCACATGGAGCGGGGTCAGGTGGTCCAGGGTGATGTCATCTATCTCTGCGTCGTATTGCAACAGGAGTCGGACACAGTCGAGGTGGTCTCCCTGAGCCGCCATGTGAATTGGGGACAGGCCGTTCTGGATAAAGAGGAAAACACAAACAATCACAAAGCCTTCTGGGGACCGAGTATGGAGGTTCAGGATGATTCCAATGTTACTCCCTACTTCTTCCCTACATGATGCTTCCACAAGGCTCCTGAGGGAGCTTGGCTCACCCTGGCCTCCATGCTCCTGCTGGCCTCTGACCACAGACATTCTCCTTTCCACCTGGCCAAGCCTTCAAAGCCATCTCCAGCAGACCCACCTCTTCCAGAATGCCTTCCCTGACCACCCTAGATGCCTCTGGGCTTTCCTTATCTGTGCCATGTGCCCAGACCTTATTCTTATATTTTCCCAATTATATTCATAGTTAACTTTTCAGGGGAGTGTAACTTTTCTCTTTACTTATACACCTCTTAAGATCAGTGAATGAGCCTAATATTTCTCTTAAATGCCCCACAGTGCCCAGTACATGCATGTGGCACACATCATGGCCCTTAAATTATGTGATTTTGAATGAATGAATGAATGAATGAATGAACGATAAAATAGAACTTGGATGTAAATCGCTGTGTTCCTTGCCCCTATCAAATGCTGTTCAGTTAAGGAAAATTCTGTTAAGGACACCTGTTTCTCAGACAGCAATTCGTTTAAAAAAACATTAAAGAAAGGAGACTCATTCATTCATTCAGACATTAATTCAACACATAATTATCAGGCGATTAACATGTACCTGGTATGGGTTAGGCTCTGGGGAAAGAAGAAGAGAACAGACAAAACCCCTGGCCCAAGGGAGCCTGTAGACAGATATGGTGTTTTCTTCAGTGGTCTGAAGCGGGATGAAAGATGATCAAAACACAGAGGGGTGCTCAAATGGATGGTGTCCCTGATGAACGAGGGACCCTGGGAGGGAGGAGGTGAGGCCTGAGCTAGAACTTGAAGGGAGCTGAATGGAAGTGCACCGGGAGGACCAAAGGGGAAGAACATCCCAGTGAAGGGAGCAGTGTGTGCAACACCACAGAGGCAGCTACCCTAGGGGAACCCAGGGGCCTCCATGCAGTTCAATAGGCAGGGCAAGGTGGGCAAGCATGGAACCGGGCTGGAGAGGAGGCTGGAACTGCGCCTTGAAAGGCTAGGAGCTCAGGACCTGGGACTTCAGCTTTTAGAAAGTGGAAATGAGAGGATTTTTATCAAAGAAGCCTCAAATCAGGTTCCATGACGGCTGATGTTAGTGTTACAGGCTGAATTAGTTTCCATAAAATTCATATACTGCACTCCTAACCCCCAGGACCTCAGAATGTGACTTGTTTGGAAACAGGGCCTTTGCAGATGTAATGAGCTAACATGAGGTCATTAGTGTGAGCTCTAATCTACGACTGGCATCCTTAGAAACAGGGAGATTTGGACACACGCACAGTGGGGAAATGCCACATGAAGATGAAGGCAGAGGTCAGTATGATGCTTCTATAAGCCAAGAACACCAGATTGTGCTCAACCACCAGAACCTTGAGGAGAGACCTGGAAAAGATACTCCCTCACAGCCTCAGAAGAAACCAACCCTGGCCAGGCACTGTAGCTCACACTTGTAATCCCAGCGCTTTGGGAGGCCAAGGCAGGTGGATCACTTGAGACCAGGAGTTCCAGACCAGCCTGGCCAACATGGTGAATCCCCGTGTCTACTAAAACATACAAAATTAGCCAGGTGTGGTGGCACACCCCTGCAATGCCAGCTACTCAGGAGGCTGAGGCAGGGGAATTGACTGAACCTGAGAGGGGAGGTGGCAGTGAGTGGAGCCACACCACGGCACTCCAGCCTGGGTGACAGAGCAAGGCTCCATCTCAAAAAAAAGAAAAAAAGGAAAAGAAAAAAGAACCAACCCTGCTGACACCTTGATCTCGACCCTCCAGCCTCTGGAACTGTGAGACAGTAAGTTTCTATTGTTTAAGCCACTCAGCGTGTGGTTCTTTGTTAGGGCAGACAGAACTAAGTTAGTTACACTTTCATTTCAGAATGGTCGTACTACAGTTCCCAATTGAAAAGTCACGCATTCTCAGCAAAGAATTTTCATAAGCATTCTTTTTAGTCCCATTCTAAGGATCCGGATAATTTTTTAAAAAAATCTTAACTTCTGGCCATGTATTATGTTTAAATACAGCACTCCTGGAAAAGTGTTGGGAATTTCCTGACCCAATAATCTAACTGATAGTGGCAATTCAGTTTTTGCTTAGCTGAGGATGTTTACTTTTAGATATGCTTTTGAAGACATTGTCTTACATGGTCGTCCCAACAATCCTAGGAGAGCGAAGGTGGGGACTCTCCAGATGAGGAGACTGAAACACAGAGAGGGCAAGACACATGCTCAAAGTCACACAGCAAATCAGCCGAGGATGGAGGGATAAATGAGAAATAAATTGCTTTAGTAGAAGACACCCTCACAAAACAGCACACACATACGCGAGAGCCAGTGTGGGGACTGTGAATCATAACTCAAACTAACGACAGCTCTACAGAACAGAATGTAATAATGTGTCGGGAATAAATCAGCTTTACTGACTGTATAGACTAAGCCATCATTTTACGACAGAACTGCTCGTGGGAAACCTCCTGGGTAGCCGTGAGTAGACTCGGCTTCTGCATTGCTCTGCTTGAACACAGCTCAATTCATGGGGCAAGGACCTGGAGCAGGCTCAGGCAGCACTATGTGGCCAACAGCTTTTGCCCCTGGAAGACTCAAGTCCTCACGTTAGAACCACATAACGGGCATTTTCTCTGGCCTGTAATGAAGCTTGAGAAAAACTGTGTCCTTTTCTTTTTAACTTCGCTCCAGTCTGGCCCAGGCTCTGAAGACTTCTCAGAGTACTTACTGCCTGTCTTTTCTGGAGCTAGGAAAAGAGGTGTGGGGATTGATCTAGAGTAGTACTAGGCAAACTATACAATCTGTGGGTCAAATCTGCCCCGCCACCTGTATTTGTCAATAAAGTTTTATTGGAACATGGCCCCTAGTTTGCATATTGCCTGTGGCTGCTTTTCTGCTATGATGACAGTGTTGAATCATTGCAACAGGGACTACGGTCCACAAAGCCTAAAACTGTCTAATACCTGGTCCTTTAGATAAAAAGTTTGCTGACCCTGATCTAGTTAGGAATTAGAGCTATACTGAGTGCCTCCTGTGTCAGGTCTTGTAATAAATGTCAAAGGTGCTATCTCATGTAGCAGTATTAGCATCTCTACTTTACAGAAATAGGATTTGATGCCAGGTCTGTTGGACCTGGAGCCCTGCCTAAAAAATGCTCCTCACAGGAAGGAAGCACACACCTTGGTTTTGGCTTGGATTGGTGCCCCATGGTCCAGCAGGATCTCTGAGATTCGCACGTGCCCATTTCGAGCTGCACAGTGGAGAGGTGTCAATTCGTCCTTTAAAAGACAGAGTCAAAAACAGAAAGCCCAAAAGGGAGCTATCAGAGGCCGTTTGGAGAGAAGACTGACTATGGCATCATCCCAGCCCACGCAAGTGCTGACGTTTCCTTAAGCACCAGCTCGACCTCAGCACAGTTTTACTATCGCCTCCCGCTGCACGCAGCACTGCTGCAGGCGGCTCTGAGAGGGTGGTGGTGCAATCCTAACTAGGTCACTGAGGGCCCGCTGCTCTGGGTGAAGCTTGTGAGGGGGGAACTCCCTCCCGTTGCCTAGCGGCGGAGCCTGCTGGCACCCACCTTGGTCTTGGTTTCTATCTGGGCCCCCCGATCCAGCAGCAGCCGCACCATGATCACGTTGCCCCTGCGGGAGGCGATGTGCAGTGGCGTGATGCCATTCTGAAGGAAGGAAGCAGGACAGTCAGGGCACGCCATCCTTCCCTGGAATGCTGCTGCTGTGCACCCGCTCCCTGTGTCCCCAGCCCCCAGCCTCCAGCCCTGCAACAGCACTGTCAGGGCACTTCTGGCCTAAGACATTTCAAAACCTGTAAGGACCTGCCAACAGCATGGGTCATCCCACCACATCAACAGAGCCCACGCCTCCCAGCATCAACATAACAGACTGCAGGAACGTCAGTTATTTGGAAATCACTCTCTGCCCTCCAGGTTTCCCACTTCTAGGATGGGCAAACGCAGTTTAGGGTTTTCTCGAGACAAAGCAAAGAAACTGGTGGATGGATGATCAGAAACCTGCTAGCAAGGAGCCTGACCAGACAGCGGGGCTGTTTGACCCATAGGCACTTCTGCAGCTGGGATGAAACCCACGGTGCCAAGGCAGAGGCAGGAGCACCTGCCAGCTCCAGGCCCCAGTGAAGACAGTGAGGGCACACATGCCCCAGAGTTACCTGTGGTGTGAAATTGACGCTGGCTCCCCTGTTGAGGAGCAACTGAGCCACGTTGAGGTTCTCGTAGTGCGCTGCGATGTGCAGGGGCGTGAATCCCGTCTGGGGCACAACAGGGGGAGAAAGGTGTCATATGTGATTTACTTCTATCTCAGAATCAGCCCTGGGATGCTGGAAACATGGGTGGGGCGACAGGACCTTACAGACAAAGGAGATTTTGATGGGTGGGAATATTTGCTGGGGATTCAAGAGAGGCTCTGTGGCATGGTATACTCAAAAGCTGGGTGTCTGCTCTGAGTGACCTGAATTATATGCTAACCTCACACTCTGTGGGTCCGTTCGTCAGAGTGATCACCAGCAGAGATTTTCATTCATGAATGAAAGTATGATGGGGCTGTGGTCTTTGTTTGTTTGTTTTGTGTTTTTGTTTTAAGACAGGATCTCACTCTGCCACCCAGGCTGGAGTGCAGTGTGGTGTGCTAACAGCTCACTGCAGCCCCGACCTGGGTTCAAGCAATCTTCCCACCTGAGCATCTCCAATAGCTGGGACTACAGGTGAGCAGCACCATCATGCCCAGCTAATTTTAATTTTTTTATTTTAGAGGTGGGATCTCACTATGTTGCCCAGGCTGGTCTCCAACTCCTGGGCTCAAACTATCCTCCTGCCTCAGCCTCCGTCCATTGTCATCATTCTATTCCAGAACCTCAAACCATGCCTAACCCCACCCAGCTGTTTTCCAGACAAAACTCGGAGGCTTTGGGTGGGTGGAAGAGGGGAGGGGATGTGCAGGAGCGGACTCTACCAAATCTATTTCCACTAAAAGAGAACCAGCAGCCTCCGACTCCAGCAAATCTACTTCCACTAAAAGAGAACCAGCAGCCTCCGCCTACAGACAGCAGATCAGCAGTGCCTCTGAACACCGGAGAGCGCACTCAGATGACCGTGCGGGGCCCCAGACCTCCGTTCTCCACACCCCGGCCCTGCACACCTCCTCCCTCTCCCACAGCACAGCCGGAGGGGAGAGATAAAGGCGTCAGGAAGGCCGCCTCCGGGGTTCCAGGGTGACCCGCCCTGTCCGCCAGGACACGTTGCCAGATGACCTGGAGCAACAGGAAACACCCCCAACCCTGCTCACCAAGAGCACGTGTCTGGGCATCCGCCAGGGATTTACAGGGGGGCTGTGCAGGGGCCCCTCTGCTTCCTGGGGTGGGGGCACTCCGTGCGCACAGCTGGCCCCGTGCGCACAGCTCGCGGCTCCTGCGTGGGCAGTCGCTGGGTGTGCACGGTGCCCCCTGAACCTGTGGGCGTCCGCGGCCCAGGGCTCCTCCCTCCATCTCGCCCTCACCTTGGAAAGCACGTCGGGGTTGGGGTCGTTCTGCAGCAGCACGGCCGCCGTGCGCGTGTCGTCGTTGCGGGCCGCGATGTGCAGGGCCGGGAGGCGCACCTTCCCCTTGGTGCCATAGTTGATGAGGTGCGCGACCACGTTCTCGTGGCCCTGCTGCAGGGCCACCGCCAGAGGCGTGAAGCCGTCCTGGCCAGAGGAGGAAAACACTTTGCTCTGACTGGCTGAGGCTGTCACACGGGACACACCCTGGCCCCTCAGGCTCACGCAGCAGCCCCAGCCTGAGGGACCTCCCTCCACCAAAGCCCTCTTCATCGCCAAGTTCATCCTCCATGCCACCTCCTCCCTGAAAGCCCTTCTGCCTCCACTTTCTTTCTCTGCAATCTCACAGAGCCTGCCGCATTTTTCTTTAGCATTCATTTAGTTTTCCTTTATAATTTGCTTCCAGTTTGACTGTTTTAAGAAACTTCTGACTGCTCAGATTCTTTGCTTGCTCCTCTTCTCACCCCATCTGCTGGTGCCAGGATAGTGCCTTGACAAGGCAGAACATTATGAACACTGACCACAGGCCAGAGTCCGCCCCGGGCCCTGAGATTTCAATTTGAGCTACCATTATTATTATTATTTTATTTTTGAGACGGGGTCTCGCCTGCCACTCAGGCTGGAGTGCGATGGTGCAATCATGGCCTACTGTAGCCTTGACCTCTTGGGCTCAAGTGATCCTCCCACCTCAGCCTCCCGAGTAGATAGGAGTGAGGCACACACCACTACACCCAGCTAATTTTCTTTTTCTGTAGAGACAGGGTCTCAAATTTCTGGCCTCAAGTGGTCCTCCGACCTGGGTCTCCCAAAACAGTGGGATTATAGGCATGAGCCACTGTGCTTGACCATGAGCTACTATTATTAATTCCCTCAGTTGTGGACATACTAAGAGGCACAGGACCCAGTGAATTGATAAAATGGAATGATAGCAAAGTCATGTCATTGAACCATCCAAAGTTAAGAGTCAGGAGACTCCTTGGCTCTATCTAGTCTAATTTCATCATTTCATCAACAACAAGACTCAGGAGCACAGCTAAGGTGACTTGTCCAAGGGAGGATGGTGGTTTTGTGGCAACAGCCTTTCTCATTACGGCCCAATGCAAACTTGCCAGCCATACACGCACGCACTTTGCCTGTTCCCTCCAGTTACAAGTGCTGGCCATAGTGGGAATGACACCTTTAAGTGTGACATCATTTCTTTGGTACATGTCTGGGCCTTCCTCGAGACCCACGATTTGTCATTACTCCCTTGCAGAGCCCGACAGTACTCAGAATTAGTGCATCGAGCTGACGGTCATCCATCTTGATGTCCTGGGTGTGTATGCACCTCAACCACTTCCCAGGAAAGTGTCGCTTGAAGCAAGGTGGTACATCTGGGAGACTTCCAGTGGTGATGACATTTTTCCAAGGTACTTACTTCCGTGGCTACATTCTGGTTAGCTCCATTTTCCAGTAAAAACTTAACCACTTCCAAGTGGTTCTCTTGTGCTGCCATGTACAGGGGTGTAAAACCTTTCTGTAAACCAAGAGAGGACATCATCAGCATCCACCCACAATGTGAGAGAGGCCGACGCCAACGCAATGTCCTCTTATCTGGAGGACAGTGCTCTCTTCAACCCATTTCCTCCCACCTGACCCCCCCTAAGGAAATTCATTGTCACGGTGACTAGCGTTCCTGGGATGATTACAAAAGGCCTCAGGGTCTGTGCCTCCCCTCAGCACCGTAGGCCAGTCTCTTCAGCTGACATACTCCTCATCGATTTCATTAATGCTGCGCCCCATGCCTCATTCCCCCAGTCCCCAGCTTCTCTCCCCACTTGAGCCATAACTGGACATATGATTTGGCTTAGGTCCATAACAACTCAACCCCTACTTGCTTAGGACATGCGGTCTAAGGACGCCTTCACCATTGCTCCGAGACACACTGCTGAGAAATCTAGGCCCTGCCCCATGCGTGTGTGTTAACACGGCCGCCAATGGACCCACGACGGAGCAGGAAAGAGGAACCACGTGTGGAAAGGCAACATCCTCTAGTCCAGACCAGAGAGCCATTACCTGCGACTGGGCATTGACATTGGCTCCATAGTTGACCAGCTCCCGGACCACCTCATCCTGCCCGGCCAGGGCCGCAATGTGCAGGGCCGTGTTCCCCTTCTGAAACACACAGGGGAAGGAAATAGATGCAGTTTCCCACTGGGCCTGCTCTGGGGCCAGCAAAGGTCTTTGGACAGGCGCTGCTTGTGGGACCTAGGGGCTTTATTCATGGCCAAAAGGGGTACAAAGGACACATATGTGTGCTTGACCCCTCACACATCCTGAAATCCTACTGAAAGTTCAAGGAGGAAACTCTACCTGTTCTCTATGAAGAATAATGCAGCAAGAGCCATAAAAAGAAGGAAATCAGGTCTTCTGTAGCAACTCAGACGGAACTGGAAGCCAGTATCTTACATGAAGCAACTCAGAAACAGAAAGTCAAATCTGCATGTTCTCACTCGTAAGTGTGAGCTACATAATGCGCGCACGTGGACATACAGAGGGTGGAGTAACAGACACTGAAGACTCGGAGGGTGGGGGTGATGAGAAATTATCCTTTGGGTGCGATGCCCAATATTTGGGTGATGGCCACACTAATAGCTCAGGCTTCGCCACTACGAAATGTATCCATGGAACAAAGCTCACTCATATCCCCTAAATCCGTAAAAAGAAAAACATTTAAAAAGAAGACTTCCAGCATTGGCTGGTGTGATAGGAGTGGAGCAGGAAGGGGCAGGTGACACTGACAGGTGCAGTTGAAGGAGAGTGCAGCCATGTCAAAGGAACTCTTTTTAAAATTATATATCCATAATAATTAAACATAAAAAATTTATAAAAGAAAAATAATTCTGGGCCGGGCGCGGTGGCTCACGCCTGCAATCCCAGCACTTTGGCGGGCCAAGGCAGGCGGATCATGGGGTCAAAAGATCGAGACCATCCTGGCCAACATGGTGAAACCCCATCTCTACTAAAAAATACAAAAATTAGCTGGGTGTGGTGGCGCGTGCCTGTATTCCCAGCTACTCAGGAGGCTGAGGCAGGAGAAATGCTTGAGCCCGGGAGGTGGAGGTTGCAGTGAACCAAGATTGCGCCACTATACTCCAGCCTGGTGACAGAGCAAGACTCTGCCTCAAAATAAAAGAAAAATAATTTGGAAAGAAAAATACACACCCTGCCAACACACACAACTTCCGAACACCTAATCTGCTTTGTGGGTGTGTCATCTGTTCCCAGCGGACAGCGTGTTGGTGTCCCTCGGGACACACACTGGAAGGCTCATCGCACGCTGGCCTTCCGCAAACCTGCAGCTCCACTCAGCCTGCAGCGCTGCAAGGCCACACAGCCCACCGAGGGGCCTGTGAGCACCGGGAAAGGCCAGCAGGTCCCTCAGGCCCACACCTCTGGCACCATCACAGGGGTACCCACAGACCACAACTACAGCAGAGGGAACAAAGAGATGGGAGGCAGGAGAGAGGAAAGTATCGGACAGAAAAGGAAAGATAAGACCAGTTCCACAATGTATGTAGGGAAGAGAAGAAAAATCAGGAAATAAATGGAACACAATCTGGCCAAGGAAAACACAAAGAATATTCAACATGCTAGTAACGAAATGTGATGAGTAAGGGGTCACCAAATTGGAGAGGAGAGGAAAGCTGGAGAGAATTAACGCCGGAAGAAAACAAGGCACGTAATTGTTTTAAACTTTGTAAAAGATAAAAACCCATAGCGGAGAGTGAGAAATAGGGCAGGTCCTGAGAAAGTGAGTTTTTTGTTTGTTTGCTTTTTTAGAATTGGGGGCCTCGCTCTGACACCCAGACTGGAGTGCAGTGGCGCCATCAGATCTCACTTCAGCCTCCCACTCCTGGGCTCAAGTGATCCTCCCACCTCAGCCTCCCGAGTAGGTGGGACTAAGGTATGTGCCACCACACCGGGCTAGTTTTTAAATTTTTTGTAGAGATGGCCTCTCACTTTGTTGCCCAGGCTGGTCTCCCGTCTCAGCCTCTCAGAGCTCTGGGCCACTGCACCCGGCCTGAGAACATGAGTTTAATGTTCTCAGGTTTTCTTGACTGGATTCTCCTTGGATATTTAACAACAATTCGCAGACAGGACCAGCAGCCTCCGTCTGTTCCCGGGATATCCACAGCCTTCCAGCCAGGCTCCTGCCAGCCCCTGGGGGTCCTGGACCAGAATGTCAGCACTGCCTCTGGGAGTAGACTCCCCTGGTGCCCTGAACCTGCGCCCCCATTCAGGGATTCGGGGATGGAGGTGGGCAGGCTCCACTCCATGCTTCTGTCAAATAGGGTGGCTGGAGAAAATGGGAACATGGTCAGATCCATCTGTCCCTGCACTACTTAAGGAGCAGATATCTCAAACGACCTTACTTTTAAACAGTATGTAGTTCTTTTTACTAAACTACATAATCACTAACTGATCCATTTCAAGAAACTTAGGAACTGACAAGCAGGGACTTCAGACTCTGTCCTTGTCCAGAGGCACCTGTCACCTGGAGGAAAAGCTTCCTCACTGAGATGGAAGGGAGCATCCTGGGCCCCAGCTGTGTGGCCCCCAAGCTGCTGCTGACCCAGCTTCCTCGGGTGGAGTTGGCAGCCCCATGAGGATGCCCTGGGGGCTGGGAGCAGCTCAGGTCTGTTTCTTGTACTCTGCCTGGTAATTCAAGCATAAAGCTTGGGGCTCAGCTCAGTGGCTCACATTTGTAATCCCGTCACTTTGGGAGGCCAAGGCGGGAGGACTGCTTGAGTCCACGAGTTCAAGACCAGCCTGGGAAACATAGTGAAACCCAGTCTCTCTGTCTAAAAAAAAAAAAAGCCATAAAAAGCCATAAAGCCTGGGTGGGGTTGGGGGGAGCGAGGCGGAGGGCAAGGGCAGGCAGGTCCGTCTGCTGCCTCCCAAAGTTGTCTTTTTGATTTCTCCTCAAGTTCTATGTGATGAAGAAAAAGGTTTTTCCTCAAGTATCCATTGAAGAATAAATGCCAGATATGAAAGTCTGGAAGCTCATTAATAATTTTTCATAGAAGTCCAAAGAGCTTCCATTGAGAGGCTTGGCATCTGTTGTACCCAATGGAGCAGGGCTGTTGGCACCAGAAACTTTTCTAGACACCAGGATGTTGAGCTCCAAGTGGCATCTTCCGGCTCCCATGGAAAAGAAGGAGGCATCCCGGGCCCATTCGTTCACTGGCCACACACATCTGGGCATGAGCGAAGCAGGCCTGGCCAGCATGGAGACACAGAGGCCTCAGAGACACCAGGAGGCTCGCATCAAATGTTTCTTTCCATCCGACCCTTCCTGCCTGAAATCCAATTATATGAGAGCATTCCTTACGCCAGGAGGAGGGGAGGGCCTCTCTGTTCGGGGAGCTCATCAGCAGTGGAACCCTGGCTACGGATCTTCGTTTGGGCCCGTGGGCCAAGGGCAGCATTAAGTGAGGAATAAGAACACAGGGAAAATTCTGGAAGTGGACCTCCTTTCCCCTATCTGCACACACATTGCAAGGCTCAAGAAGACCCCTGGACCAAGTCATGAGAGTCACAGGAAAAGGGATTTGTGAGCCTCTATTTTCTCTGCCCCTCCCTCAACATGAAAGAACATGGCCTCAAAGGAGCAGGAAAAATTACTTAGCTATATTTTGCTCCACAAACACCCAACTTCTCTATTTTCAGGGGCTCACAGAGCTCAGAGCAGGAAGGATGGCTGCCTGGGTGCTGAGTGAACGCAAGAGGAAGGGGAAGAGGGACCCCGAGTGAGACAGCAAGCATTCCTCCAGTAGAGATGAAAGTTGTCTCTGTTCGTTAACAGCTTAGGTGCTGAGCTCCAGTCTCTAAGAGCTGGAGATCGGAGGATGGGGAGAGAATGCATTTGTTTTATGCTTTTAAAATTTCTAAGTATATTTTAGGAGTCTAAATTGGTTTTGGCTTTTTACTCATTTTCTTTTTTCTCATCTTCCTCCTGCCTGGGAGTCCCGTCACAGTCCCCGATCTGTTGTGACTTCCCCAGCCCACGGTTTCAGTTCCACCTTTTTTCCCCTCTCTCTCAACATGGCTTTGGATGGCATTCCAAAGCCATGTTGGCTTAGAAAATTTCTAAAAATAAAAAAGACACACCAAGTGTTCACTTGCAAAATCACAACCTGGGGAGGAAATTCGGAAATAGTCAAAGCACTGAAGCCTCGTCTTTCCGCAGCACTTGGGGGCACGCCAGGGAAGGAGACGCTCCAGCACATGCCGGCCAGGTCAGATGGTGCACAGCTCACAGCCAGATACGTGGGAGTGTGCAGAGAAAAGAATCGCACCCCTCGTCCACACAAGAAGCAGGGTGGGAACAATCGGAATTTGTCGTGGAGTTTGGGAAAAAAATACCCCATATCCAGTCAGAAAGAGCAACTCAGTTTATTTTACCCATAAGTGCAATAAGATCTTTTCACGTTCAGGAAATGACATGAAAATTACAGAATTTTACCTCAAGAGATGATTCTACGTTCATAATATTTTGGTAGTTCACTTCATAACCATAAATTATATCTGTTCTCTACATATTGTTCTTCTATGTTCTCTGCTTGAAAGGCGGCAAACTGTTTGCTGCATGGAACTGAAATTGAGGTTATGTGTGAGACCACGTGTAATCAACAGCAAATGGAAAACAAGAGTCTGGGGGAAAGAACTCCAGAAGAAAAACATGGGAAAGGAACAGAGGAGGTAAGAGAAGAGAAAACAATACTTGAATTAGCAAATGGAGATGATTTTTTGTTTCGCTTTATTTTATTATATTGTATTTATTTATTTTTGAGAGGGATTCTGTCTCTGTCACCCAGGCTGGAGTGCAGTGGTGCAATCTCGGCTCACTGTAAACTCTACCTTCTGGGCTCAAGGGATTCTCCTTCCTCAGCCTCCCGAGTAGCTGGGATTACAGACCTACACCACCACACCTGGCTAATTCTTGTATTTTTAGTAGAGATGGGGTTTCACCATGTTGGCCAGGCTGGTCTCAAACTCCTGACCCCAGGTCATCCACCCGCCTTGGCCTCCCAAAGTGCAGGGATTACAGGCATGAGTCACCACGCCTGGCTTTGTTTTAATTAATTAATTTATTTATTTAAGATAGAGTCTCACTCCAGTCACCCAGGCTGGAGTGCAGTGGTGCAATCTGGACTTACTGCAACCTCTGCCCCCTGGGTTCAAGCAGTTCTCCTGCCTCAGTCTCCCGAGTAGCTGGGATTACAGGTGCCCACCACCACACCCAGCTGAATTTTGTAATTTTAGTAGAGACAGAGTTTCACCATGTTGGCCAGGCTGGTCTCAAACTCCTGACCTCAAGTGATCCACCTGCCTTGGCCTGCCAAAGTGCTGGGATTACAGGCGTGAGCCACTGCACCTGGTCTGTTTCGTTTTATTTTTAATTGCTGGCTGCGTCCTCTTTAATAAATAAGATGCATGTCATGTAAGAAATAAAAGTTATTTTGCAATCTATAGATGTATCAATTTCATGACTCTGGGATTTCAGAAGTTGAGTCACTGGTGTTTATAATCTACTGAAATGGAATGAAATACATCACTGTGGATGCCTGACGTCACCCCATGCCAAACGCCTCCAGGTCATTAGTGAGGAGAGGAAATCAGTTTGTGGCCAGACAAGGAAGACTTGCTGGAGAAGGAGAAATGAAAGAGATCTGGATTCTTTTCTACAACCCTCAGTAACAACACGGTCACTAGTATTTATTGATTCCTTGCTATAGGAATCAATAATCAATCAATACATCCAATAATCAATACATACATCCAATAAGCAGTAACTACATCCATCCAATACATACATCCAGGCACTTATGTATGCCATCAATTTTCATACCAACCCTGCCACTGAGTATTATAATCTCCATTTTATAGACAAAGAAGCTGAGGCGTCACAGTGATGGAGTAACTCGTCCCGGGTAGCAGTGTTTGAAGTGCGTCTGCTGGGATTTGACTCCAGGCACCTGCCTGGCGCTTCCGGAGCCCTTGAACACTAAGTTAGAGTCAAGGACCCTGAGAAAGCACAAAGCCACCAGGAAAGGGCTCTGTTTTTAGACATGTAACCTAGTGATGAAGATAAAGGTCCACTGAGTCTTTCTGGACACAGGGTGTGTTTCAGGTGGCTTCAGGGATTCAGATAACTAGAACGTGATTGGAAGGATAAGAGAAATTCAGACGCAAGCCTGAGGTCTCTCCTGAAGGACTGGTTTCTAAAGAAGGACTCACAAACTTGAATTTTCCATGCAGAGCTCCCCACTTCCTGTGAGACATACCTTGGTTGTTGTTTCTAGAATGATTTCTTTGTGCAGAAGTTCAACCACCATTTTCACATGGCCTTCCTTAGAGGCCAGATGCAAGCCATTCAACCCATTCTGTAAAGAGCAGAGAGGCGGGAAGGGCATGTTAGTCATATGGTGCGTTCTCCCGGTCCCAGTGGGGGCCCAGGTCCCTTCCCAGCCCTGAGGTGTGCATAGCACTGAAGTGACGGAGTGGAGAGCGTCTAGGGGTTGGAAGGGGCACAGGGTAGGGCCACCCAGCCTCCCCTTCACGCCTCAGGTCACCACAGAGCAGAGGAGGAAAGGCAGGGCAAGAACCGGCCTGCCACTCCCAGATGTGAATTACGCAGGGAGCTCTCACAACACCCACAGTGACCTTGGAATTCAGGTCGTGGCCAGGCTTTAGGCAGCCCACTTAATTAAAATTGTATAGCTTCAACCCCTAGCTAATTTTCACAGCAGTGACCAGGAAAAGCAAAGCGGTAACATCGGTAACATCAGTGCATCCTAAACACTTGTAGAGATAGACATATGTTTGATAAGATGTTAAATTTTGAAGCAAGGTCATATGAGAAATGAATACCACCAACCACCCAGCTGTCAGATTTCCTCAATAGAAAAATCAGTATGAGGCCGGGCGCAGTGGCTCAAGCCTGTAATCCCAGCACTTTGGGAGGCCGAGGCGGGTGGATCACGAGGTCAAGAGATCGAGACCATCCTGGTCAACATGGTGAAACCCCGTCTCTACTAAAAATACAAAAACATTAGCTGGGCATGGTGGCACGTGCCTGTAATCCCAGCTACTCAGGAGGTTGAGGCAGGAGAATTTGCCTGAACCCAGGAGGCGGAGGTTGCGGTGAGCCGAGATCGCGCCATTGCACTCCAGCCTGGGTAACAAGAGCGAAACTCCATCTCAAAAAAAAAAAAAGAAAAATCAGTATGAAAATAGCCCCTTTGGCCCAGCGCAGTGGCTCATGCCTATAACTGCAGCACTTTGGTGTAGGAGACCCCTACAGCCTATTTCCCTATAAACAATGAAAAAGAAAGTAACTAGAAATATAACTGTATTAGTTTTTAGCTATTCATAGGAGATCTTAATTATTCATAGATGATTCTAATTATTTTACTAATGCCTCTTAGGTCTTGAAGTGTGAACCTGGGGTGACACTATGAAAGGAATGACCCTAAGGCAAGACGCTTTAAGCCCTCTGTCACCCGCACCCTGCCCTGGTAAGGGCTGCTGGAGGCTCCTCGGCTGTGCGGCAGTGCCAGCACTGGGAAAGTGCCCACTGTTTAGCCAGTTAGGGAAGGAGACGTCCAAGATGGCTGAAACATCTCCTTCCTCAGGGGAGTTAGGAGAAAACTCCACTCATCTGAGCTCTTGCGGTAGGCCTGATGGCTGTCAGGGACATCCACAGACATCCGGGGCTTAATTGTGTCTATGTGATGCTGTGCTTCAGCGGTCACATTCCATGTTCACTCTCATGTTCCGCTACTGTATGTAATATAAATCTTTTTTTTTTTTCCCTGAGACGGAGTCTTGCTCTGTCACCAGGCTGGAGTGCAGTGGTGCAATCTCGGCTCACTGCAACCTCCGCCTCCTGGGTTCAAGCAATTCTTCTGCCTCAGCCTCTGGAGTAGCTGGGACCACAGTGCCACCACACCTGGCTAATTTTTGTATTTTTAGTAGAGTTGGAGTTTCACCATGTTGGCCAGGATGGTGTTGATCTCTTAACCTCATGATCCACCCGCCTCAGCCTCCCAAAGTGCTGAGATTACAGGTGTGAGCCACCCCACCCGGCCAAAGTAATATAAATCTTAATGTCTTTGTTCTTTCTTGACAAGTATGGAAAAGTGTTGACGCATTATGCTCCTTACCTCATCTCGGCTACTAGAAAGCCTTGGGCCCCCATCCCTATGACACAGGATGTGCTTGACCCTATCACTGACCACCAATGCCACGCCCTACCTACCTTGCCCCCAGCTTTATACTCAACAAAAGTCAGAGCATCCAGGCACTCAGGGCCCCTGCCGGACTACGCACTTTGGTTGGCAGTGGACCCCGGGCCCAAACTCTCTTTTCTCTATCTCCATTTCTTGTGTCTTTTATTCTATAGTTTCTCGTCTCCACACCAGTAGAGCGGGCTCGCAAGGACCCTGTAGGGCTGGACCCTACACTTTGGGAGGCTGAAGCAGGCTGGTTGCTTGAGCCCAGGATTTTGAGACCAACCTGGGCAACATGGTGAAACGCTATCTCTACCACAAAACCAAACCCACCAAAGTAGCCAGGTGTGGTGGTGTGTGCCTGTGGTCCCAGCTACTCGGGGGGCTGAGGTGGGAGAATCACCTGAGCCCAGGAGTTTGAGGCTATGATGAGTTGTGATGGCACCACTGCCCTCACACAGGGTCTGGCCCTGTCACCCAGGCTGTGATCAGGGTGACAGGGTCAGATCCTGTCTCAAAAATAAAAATAAAACAAATAGCCCCTTTGCCATCCCACCATTTCAAAGGTGGACAAAGAAGCCTGCCTCACAGTTAAGCTTTACAAAAAGCAAAAGGAAACAAAACACATTTCCCCCGCCCAACCATTAGCCCACAAGAGCAGAACCAATTACAATTTAACCAATTACAGTTCCAGCTGCATCTGGTGAAGCTGCGGCTGTGCTTTATGGAAAGCAGCCAAGTTCAAGTTTTATATATCACTCTCACACTTCCTGGTCTTCTGATCCTTGCCTTGAAAGGTCTTGAAACTTTCTGGCCATGTCACCCAGGCTGGAGGGACTGCTACTTGGAGCCACAAACACTTCTGACAACATGAAGGAGCAAAATTTCAAGTCCAACAGATGAGTTGATCTTGGCTCCATACAGAAATGATTTTAGTCGGTGAGCAAACTCCCCCCGCTGCTTTTTTATTGTGTTCCTGTCCTCCTTCCCTGCCAGCAATTTTTCCCTCCTCTCTTGCTCCTCCGCCCGGCCTCCTGTTTTGATTAATTCTATTCTAGCACATTCATTTCCAGGGGAGGCCTCAGAGCCACTGCAGACGCCGGCTCATGAAACAGATCCTTGCCACCTAGAGGAGGGCGTGACTTCTGCAGGTGTCACGTGCAGAGTCCCTGACCCACACGTCCCCAAATCTCTCCACAGCCCCACCCTTCGTTCCCAAAATTCCAGCTCTCCCATTGTGTCAGGGCATCATTTTCAGGAGGTTCTTGTCCAAACACAAGTATTCTACCTGGGATTGGGAGTGCATTAGCCCATTCACAGATTAGGCATATTGCTTTGCCATAACTAGCAGAGGAAAGTCACCCAAAGTCACGATGGACAATGGAAGGGCTCTAACGCTTCTTTTATGTGGGGGCCTTGGACAGCAAATATAGCAGGTGCCTTGGATGTTTGAGAAATGAGAGAGGGGCAGCAAAGGGAACATTACCTACCTCCTATTTAGGTCAGGCTAGCCCTGCACCCCAAACAGCCAATGGGCACACTTGGCCAAATCTTTGCCTATCAGCACAGCCAGCCTTGCCACAGTATGTGTGTGTAGGGAAGAGGGGGAGGGTCACCAAATATTTCCTCATGCAAATGCCTGAAAATGACCATTAGCCATTAGATTTCCTCCTCCTGCAGATTTTGCACACCATTCAGTGAAGGTTCTAAAGCTGTGTGGATCCTTCTCACCTGGTGTGAATGAGTTTATTAGAGAAAGTTAGGTCAGATCCATTCTGGGCAATACAGAGGGAGAAAGTGCTTGAGGGCCAGATGGGAATCCAGGAGAGGGGGAGAGAGCATTGGGCAGGCAGAAACCAATTTCCCTCCACTTGATTTGCAAGACACAAACTCACTGCACAGCAATTTGTTGTGTGGCCAGTACGCTGGGAGCCGGGGGCCTCTCTCACTTCTGCATCTTGCAACTCTTTTTGGGACGGGTTGGCAGGAAAGTCCGTGCTCCCTCTCAGAGCAGGGGGGCTTTTTCAGGCAGCACATAGCATTTCTTCAAGTGCTCTTCCAACCCAGCGGCAGCCTTATCTAGAAGCTTCCTGGTGCTGAGAGCGGACACCCTGTGATTGCTTGGGAACTGGGGTGGTGTTTGTGGCTGTGGGCACGGCTGGAGTGACAGCCCGTCAGCTGCCACCGGCTGCTTATTGCGGGAAGCTGACTCGCAGCGGCAGCCAGCCTTGACTTCGTGCTGACTGCTGGGGTTTTAGTGCTTGCTTGAGCGGCGCAGTCACTCTGATGAGCATTTGTGGGTTCTGAATGCTTCAAAGCCACAAAAGCAGCAAGCCTGGAAAGAAAATAGCTAATGCTCTGGGATGGCTGTTCCTTGCTCTTTGAGGCCAATGTCAGGATCTCAATCCAGAGGGGTTCTAGATGCACCATCTGACCAGAGAATGTTGGACTCCGAAGGGATATTAGAGGTCCCTGAGCTCCACCCTTTCATCTGCAGCTGAGGAAGTTGAGGACCAGAGTAGTCAAATGATTGGCAGAGGCCACGCAGCCTCTCCAGGGCACAGCCACACACAGGACCAACCTGGATTTCCCAAGAAAAAGGGAGTTTTCGTTTTCTTCCTCCTAAAAACTACTGTGATAACTGGCTGGGCATGGTGGCTCACGTCTGTAATCCAAGCACTTTGGGAACCCAAGCAAGCGGATCACTTGAGGGCAGGAGTTGGAGACCAGCCTAGCCAACATGGTGAAACTCCATCTCTACTAAAAATACAGAAATTAGCCAGGCGTGGTAACACGCGCCTGTAGTCCCAGCTACTCAGGAGGCTGAGGCAGGAGAATTATTTGAACCCAGGAGGACAAGGTTGCAGTGAGCTGAGATCACACCACTGAGTTCCAGCCTGGGTGATGGAGAGATACCATCTCAAAACAAAAACAAAAGCCCAAAATGTCTGTTTCTTTTTATCAGATGATGAAAGCATATTTTCCCTTTTCTGGTCTCCAGGAAACTTAGCGCTAACAAATGAATCTGGTTGTGACCTCCGCAATTGATCTCTAGGATTTTATTTATCACCCTGATCAGCAGAAAATCCCCTTTCTTCTCCCCCTGGGTCCTGTGCATCCCTCAAAAAGGGCAGAGGGTGAGGACCCTTGCC